CATCGGAATTTCAAAATTCTGGATGTTTTACTGTACGAAACCCAGGAATTATTAGAAAATTCTGAAATCAAATTGTCTATACTTGATTTTTTTATTTACTACATCAAATTAAATGATTGGAATGTGTTTGCAGAGTTTTTCTTGATATTCCCCCCTTACTACACCTAACATGAACAAATTGATGGATATTTCTGACATATATAATTTAAATAAGACCTTTTCACCTGCCAAACAGAACGAAATTATTAGAGGAAAGAGGCATATCTGTCGTAATTCAAAAATTAGAAAAAAGTGTGATTTTTAAGTTCCAATCAATTCCTAAGGTAAAATTATTTCATATGTATTTCAACTAACATTAAAATTTATTGCGTATATTGGCATAGAAAAAAATACAAAATCTTGAAGATAATTGATATTAAAACTATGAATTTTTTACGCCTACTAGCCTAAAGGTCATCTATTTATGAAAAAAGCATTTTTAAGCTAAACAAAGATCTTTGATTTGAATTTATGTAATCAAAAAATTGAATTTTAAGTTCAATTTTGGGATAAGCCTCAAAAAGGGGGATTCTAAGGACAAAAGTTTTTATTACAAAATGCCAAGACTAAATTCTAATTTTGATAACTGAACTACCTCATTGTATGTGATTTATTAAAATTAAAAAAAAAACAAAATATTGTGTGAAAATGATGGAAATTGTTGTTATTGCCACATATTCTTGCAAAAAATTCGGAAAACGCTGAATATTCTCCAAATTTTAACATTTATTAAAAAAGTGGTTAATGAAAGTTACTTTTTATAATTAATGCCACCAGAGTGCCATAGAACTCGTAAGAAAATTCTGAAAGAAAATCCTCTTTTTAGGCGTCCAAAGAGGACGTTTGCACACACTGATATTTTACACGATTCTTTGTGAATATTCTCAAGTCCACATTGAATTACCTTTTACAACACTAGCAGAAACAGAAATAATCTGCAAGATGCAACTGCGTGAAGCCGAAATATTTTTACCATTAAGGTACTTTTTCTTGACAAAACAGTTTTAAGGATCATTCGAAGACAGTTTTATTGATGACATCAATGTTTATACTGTCCAATTAAAACGTTGAAAATATGTAGAAGTCCTGAAAAAAAATACACTGAAGATATGTACAAAATTTGAAAAATCAATTTAATTTGTATTATGCTGGAAAGGTTACACACACAAATTTCTCACAGATTTTCAGTAAAACTTTTCCATTCCTTCTGAAACAAATTGAATTTTGTCGAGTGGATTGAAATATAGTAAAAATAGTTAATGTTTAAATTTTTATTAAGTCAAGAATTTCATTGGACCAGATTGAATATCAACTAAAAAAAATTTAAAGCTGCAAATAAAAAATAACCAGATGAAATTCGCTGTGCGCCGCTCTTGTAGTTCAGGCTTCTCTCGCGAGATGAATGTTAGTAATCCCTACTAAGTCAATCTGCCAAGAGATGTCGCATCATGCAATGACTATTTTCATTCTTTCGATTTTTTGAAATGAATTTGAGAACAGTGTGTGGCATTGAAATTTTGTTTTCTGCTCGGTAAAAGTGCATCGAACACGATTAATATGCTGCCTACAGCTTACAGCTGTTTTACATTGACAATTTATTGATCAATTAATTGTAATGCACCAAATCTGCTGTCAAATAACTTCATGAATTTATTCATCAAGTTCTTGACGAATTAGAGCATGTTCTAATTTTCGTCAATTTCTTCGTGAAGTTCAGAAGTACCAACCCAACAGATTTCCAGCCTCAGATCAGTAATGAGGTTATGTTATTGGAATATGTAAATAATTGTGTGGCGTCGTACTAGTTTTGCATTGTTTTTACTGATTTGTCACTTACAAAAACTAATATTTATATAACATGTGTCAAAACGGTACCGCTGTTGTATTACTTCAATTATGAGTGGAAAGATGACATTTTTGAAATTTATTTGCTTCTTTCATTTATTGGTAGAGCTGATTCATATGTCAAAAAGCTTAACCAAAGTCTGTAGCGGTGTAAAACCAATAATTTGGTGACTATTAGAAAGGACATACCATGAATATAACTCAAGTGTAAGACGTGTTTGCAATTCAAACACAGTGCCATGTCGATCAAAGACGTTCAATGCCTGGGTCGGCCTTCCACGTTCAGAACTCATGAAAATGTGGAAAAAATTCACGCGCTGTGTACAAGGAGAGAAGCCGTACTACTGATGCACTTGCTAAATTATCTGGTTTTTCGTGGAGCTCAGTGTGTACTGTAACCGAAGATTTACAAATAAGACTAATCGTGGCAAAATTCATCTTCCGCTTGTTGACCTCTGATCAAATGGCGGCTCGCTTCGAGAACATATGAACAGCATCCGATTCACTATTATTGAACAGAAAAGAAACTTTCAATGCTGCACGCCGTTTTTGAATATCAATCATTCGGAACACGTAGCGAATTTCGTCCGGTTATTTTTGGGCCCCCCCTCGTACATGAATTTAAATTTGACGGCTTTTGTTTCTATAGGAAATAGTGCAATGGTGAGTTAGAGCAGCTTCAAGCTTATTCCATATTTATCTTTATCTATGACGCTCTCCAAATAGTTGTTTAACTTACAAGGAGAAGATAAAGTAATCGGATTTTTGTAATTTTTGATATTTATGGTACGTGTAGTTTGGACCTTGAAAAAGAATTTTCCGAAGTAGTTCGACGCAACATTCATAAATTACCGAGATAATCGATTTTGAAATTTTGCCTAACACCTAAATCCACTAGATGCGACACATTATTCAACTGAGAGCGTGGGATAATTGGTAGCGTTCGGATCTGACAGTCACGAGATCGATGGTTCGAGTCCGTCGCGTGGCTTTTTTTTTCAAAATGCACCATATGGGTTTTTATTATTTTTCTCATCTCAAAAATTATGAACAAACGAAATATTATAATAAGTACTTATGTATATGTAGGAATATTCTTCAAATATTTTATTAAAATGCACAATCGGTTGACAAACAATATTTATTATGAATTAACAATAAGGTTTCATTAAAAAAAAACAAACGAGGTCAGGTAGGATGTTCTTTCATTTTATATTTATGTTAGTATTTGACATTTTACGCAGTGTGGCACAAGCCAGAATAGTAGTTATCATAAAAAAATGGGAAGCAGAAATTTTTTAAGCATCTAGCTTCCTTTCTTTTTCTTTTTCTGATCTCGAAAATTATGAACAAACGAAATATTATGAGAACTGTATGTAGGAATATTCTTCAAGTGTTTAATTAACATTTTGAGCTAGGTTGTGTGGGTCGTCCACCGTGTTTAGAAAAACCGCTTACAGGACACACCTGCTCGGGCATAAAAAGTTTCGGTAAATTCCGCAAAGGGTAGAGAAGCATCGAAACTGTGCGATGAAAGAACAATTTTTCAAAATGTGAAAGAAATTTGCTTCCACGTCGATATTTTGAAAACAAAATGCGCTTGTAAAAACATAACATTTACACGACGTACTAGATGCTTAAAAAATATCTGCTTCCCATGTTTCTATGATAACTATCATTCTGGCTTATGCCACACTGCATAAAATGTCAAATATTAAAAATATAATAAAAAACATCCTACTTGACCTCGTTTGCTTTTTTTAAAGAAACCTTATTGCTAATTCACAATAAATATTGTTTATCAACTAATTGTGCATTTTAATGAAATATTTGAAACATGTACATAAGTAGTCATTATAAAATTTCGTTTGTTCATAATTTTCGAGATGAAAAAATGAATAAAACTATATGCTGCGTTTTGAAAAAAAAAAAAAAAAATGTCACACTACGAGACTCAAAACACCAATCTCGAGACTGTCAGACCCGAACGCACCAACTAGGCCACGCTCTCAGTTGAAGAATCGCATCTAGTGGCTGTAAACTTCAAAATCGATTATCTCGGTAATTTATGAACGTTGCGTCGAACTACTTCAGAAAATTCTTATTCAAGGTCAAAACTACACGTACCACAAATATCAAAAATTACAAAAATCCGATTACCTTACCTTCTCCTTGTTAGCTTTCAAAGACGTATGATAATAATATTGTCGCACTACTGCGTTAAGACGAGGATAAAAGAGGACCGGAATGTCTAAACTTATTTAGTTATACCACAACAAGCAAAGACTGACCGATGAATTGGCGCTAGAGTAGAAATCAGATCGGAAACTCTTAAAATATATAATTTACACATCTAACTGAGAGAATGTGAAGCAAATATATGTTGTACCCCAAAAATTTCAAATTTTTCATAAAATAGGCATACCAACGCATACGAACCCTGAAAATGTATTACCCGAAACGCTTCAAAATTGGTAGATAATATGTTTTACTACTAATACTGACGGGGAGCAAAAATACTATAGAATTAATTTGGCGCAGCGTTAATAATGTTTTAGAATCTGTGTATTCCGATATCTAATATTAAATACAGTTCTTAGTTATACAGGGTGTTTATTAAGTATTTGAACAAACTTTAAAGGGTGAATCTTTGACTTATTTTAAGATAAAAAGTTCATATGAACAAGAGTCTGCAACGGCTTGGTTCTAGAGATACAGGGCGTCCAAAAAAAAATGTCTGGTATTTTGATTATATTTTTGTTCAGTTACATGGCAATTTGAAAAAATTCGTAAAACTGGGAGTATTGATGATGAGAAACTCAAATATTTACTTAATATTTTGTTTGTTAGAGGGCGCCACATACAGTGTTGTACCTGAATTTAAATAACTATAACTTTTTTGTGTCGCACTGTATGTCATTTGTCACATACCTATTCTCCATTCAATTTTACGTAAAAAACAATAAAACAAGTGAAAAAGTCATGTGCTATGTAACATTATCAATTTATAAATTACTATCACCAAATTAGTGAAAAAATAGGAAAAAATAAAATTAACAAAAATATAACCAAAATACCAAACAAAATTTTTTTTTGGCACCCTGTGCCGTTACTTTTTGTCTTAAAATTAGTCAGTTTCATCCTTTAAAGTTTGTACAGGTATTTAATAAACACCCTGTATATCATAATTTGATAGTTTACTATATCGACACGGTTCTTAAGATCGTTTCAAGACGGAATCAATCAGTTTCGTATGTGACGTCATCAAACGAACAGGAAAATATATTCAAAAACATTCTGAAACTGTTTGTCAAGAAAAAATACCTTTAATACAAACAAACATGAAAAAACGGTAAAATTTCAAGCGGCTACCGAAAAGCTTCAACGAAATTGGCAGTAGTATTCCTACAACCATCAATACTTACTTACCTATTTAAATTCCATTGAATTTACGAGTCTAGTTTTAAGTACAAATTACTCGGATGAACGCTTTCACTAATTCAATTAATCGTGTTCCGGGTTCTATAAAAAAGTGACGTGACGATTTTTTGGCCCACTGTACTACTAAACCTACTAATTGGCATGATTAATATTGTCAGTTCGTTAAAATGCAGCTCCCCCACTACTCCTCCTCCACTTTTGGCCTCTGTAGCTTCTCCGGGTGCGAATACGCCATCCTGGAGAAGTCCCTAACTACGTCGTTGAATGTATCGTCGCCTGTGACGCCCAGTTCCGAATCCTTCATCTCCTCGTTCAACCTGCCCAGTCTCAAACTGCAAAAAATTATTTTTAGTTAATTTATTAAACACGAATCTTTACTACTGCTCACAGTGTGACGATGTCGGCGTGTTCTTTCTGTTCCGCCATGGACAAGGGCACTTTGCCCTCGTCGTCCTCGAGATGCTGGTCGGCGCGGTGTTTCAAAAATAGACATACTTGAGCCGTGTGACCCTCTTGGGTCGCCAGATGTAGGGGAGTCTTTCCGTTTTGGTCTTGAGCATTTATTTTCGCACCGTTTAATACTAAGTAGGCACATGGCATCACAGAACCCTGGAGGAATGATTAATAATGAGTGGCCGTTTTGTTCACGATAAGGGTGCCTATCATTGGGATATTGAAAATTGTGAGAGATATATGTACACTCAAAATAAAAAAAAGAAGTTGTAGGTTTGAGGGACCATCGGAATGACAAACAAATCTCGGGTAGGTTTTAGTTTTAAAGATATTTTGAATTATACCTAATTTTTCAATATATTTTTTTTCAATAATTAGAGCTAGAACAAAAAAGAATCCGGCAATTTTTTCTGTACTTTATCATGGAACAGTTAGGTTTTCTGTCTTCTAAAATAATTTGTAGAATTTTAAGTAAAAATAGTATCTGAAAATTAGAAATTTATCAAGTTTCGATACAACATTCAGACTGTAATATTGAAAAAAGACTTAAATAACTGATTTAATAAGAGATCATTCCAATATTAAAGAAAAATATACTCAAAAACAATGTAGATCTTTTTTTTCTCCATCAGAATCCGCTTAGTTTTACAAATCTAGTTAGAAACAAAATAAAAACAAGATTCCTTCCTATATTCATAAAATATTACTATTCTGTTTATACAGGGTGAGTCATTAGTAATGGTACACAGCTTAATGGCAGATTGTTAACGTCAAAATATAGCAATTGGGCCAAACATGCCTTAATCAATTGTTGCTCATTTTCGTTTTACAGGGTGTTAACTTGAAAAAATATTTTCTTTTTTTTATCTATATTTTAAGTATGTATGGACCGATTGTTTTGAAAATTTGTAGTTTTACGTTTTTTGAGGAGGCAAATACGAATATGCAAACAGTGTTGGGGTCACCTCTAGAGGGCGCTAGTTATACTGTCCTATCAATGTAAAAATCTGTCTAACTTTTTGTATTTTACAATTTTGAATTTTTTAACTACAAATTATTGAACTACGTTCAATTCTAAATAAAAAAGGTGTACTAGTTACAAATCGGTAAACTAAACCGTTTTCGAGATACAGACGTTTTAAGTTTTTGAGATTCGGAGGGAATTAAATTAGAAAATTGGCAGGTCTTAAAATACCAAGCCTGAATTAAAAATTAAGACAAACATTACAGCAATTAAAGATTTTATTATGCATATATTAACAAATTGTTAACTACCAGCAGCTTCAGTGCACTTTCTTAACCTTTTATTAAGATATTCTCTTCTCTAAAAAATAACGACAAGGAAAAAACTACTTCTTAATCAAATTGAGTAGAAAACAATATGGTATTGTAGTGACAGCTGTCAATTTATTATGTCCATGCCTACTACTTTGGAAAAAATAATTTTCTAATTTAATTCCCGTCAAATCTCAAAAACTTAAAATGTCTGTATCTCGAAAACAGTTGAGTTTATCGATTTGTAACATGTATACCTTTTTTATTTAGAATTGAACGTAGTTCAACAATTTCTAGTTAAAAAATTCAAAATTGTAAAATATAAAAAGTTAGACATATTTTTACATTGACATGACAGTACAACTAGCGCCCCCAGACGTTAGTGATGGGTAGTTCGCGAACGAACGAGTTAAAACGAACGATTCTTCATAGTGAACTAAAAGAACTAGTTCCCTATTCTAAAACAAAGTAGTTCGTGCGAACTAATTGTTTCGATTTTGACTGATCTTATGTAACATAAAACAGCGCTACGTTTGTGAAACGGTTCAGTGTCTGTCTGAGTATCTGAGTATGTCCTTTTTTTATCGATTTCTTTGTAAACAATTTAACTCCCACATTTTCTAGACCTTTTTTTTTAAGGCATTAATTTCTCCGGGTCTGTCATGAAATAGATCTGGTAACTATAAAACTCTAAATGTAAACGAATCTGCTTGACCGAGACTGAACGATTGCAATCGCGATTGGCAGCGGGAGAATATCTAAAGTAGTTCGCGAACTAGATTTAAGAACTAGTTCACTTGGAGCAAGTAGTTCTCGAGAACTAGTTCTCCGAAATGAACTATTATGCCCATCACTACCAGACGTGGCCCCAACACTATTTGCCACCTCAAAAAACGTAAAACAACAAATTTTCAAAACAATTGGTCTATACATACTTAAAATATAAATAAAAAAAGAAAATATTTTTTCAACTTTAACACCCTGTAGAACGAAAATGAGCAACAATTGATTAAGGCATGTTTGGCTCAATCGCTATATTTTGACGTTAACAATCTGCCATTAAGCTGTGTAACATTATTAATGACTTACCCTGTATACAAGCCAGAAATGAACTAATAACAGATTAGTAACAATTTTTATTAATTTTAATTGAATTAAGCTAATTCAAACATTAAAAAAAAAAAATGTTTATAAAAAATCTTATCAAATCAAGTCGAACAATGTTCTTCAAAACCATAGGAGGATAACGAGAAAACAATTGATGTCTGCAACCCCACCTCAGTGGACTCGTCAAGTGACGCAAGTGACGCACTGCTTCACCTAAAATTCTGATTCCAAATACAAAGGAGCCCACGAAAATGTGTCTTAAGGGGGTTTCTCGCCAAAAAGCGTAGCACTGTAAGATTCCACATATCATAAAACCCCTGTGTACCAAATTTAGTGATTCTCGCACAACATGGTTTTGAGATATAAAAAATACTTCTTAACAGCAGATTTCAGGGGGCTGTAACTCCGAAAGAGAGGGCCAGTTGGCAAAAAGAAAAAATACGGGTCCCCTAAATTTGTCTTAAGAATCTATGACCAAATTTTATTGCATGAATTTCGGGACACCCTGTATTTACTCATAAACAAAAAAAAAATGCTTTGAAAATCCATATATATTAAAAGCTGTAGGTTACTCTCGCTCCCACTCTCGGAAGCGATAAGAGGCATATGGTATTATCAAAGGCTTTCCTCGCGAGCCGAGCAGCGGCGAACCGAGGGCCCCTCGGTCCTTCCTTTATCCAAACATCGTATTTTGAAGGCGATCTGTTCGCGCCTTCTATGTGAAATTTCCACTTAAAGAGTCCTCGCCGAAAATTAACTTTTTTTGGTGGGAGAGAGATACACGAAGTATATCCGATATTTAAACAGAGATGGAGACAAACGTCAGTGAAGACGTCAAAATAAATTTTGTCATTTGAACCGTTTTTCCAGACGATCGGGCCACGGTGTCGTTACATTGCCATTAGGCATCGGTTCTGATCTTTTAGAGACAACTGGCAACTTTGGCAAACATTTTCAATTTTCTGTTTACATTCACGGAGAACTAACATTTCAAATAGCCCATGCAGGCTCCTTCTAGTGTTTAGATCGCCGTAGCACATTTTGTAAACTCACGACTGTGAAGCCGAAGGTCCGAGGTTCGAATCGTGGGAGGGTCGCATTTTTTCTTTTTTCTTTTTTGTAAAAGAGAACGCACCGTAGAGCGGTGGTCGAGTTGCGCGCAGCACGGCCCGAGAGAAAGCTCAAGCCCGCATCAGCAGATTTGCCTACCTTTCTAGTATGTATCTTAAAAGACGTCTAAAATGAAATTGTTAACTAAATTGAAGACAAAATATCAGTTACGGAACTGGCAAAGTTACCATAAATGAAGTCATTTTAATAAAAAATCATAAATAAAATATATTTAAGATATGTTTGTGTCATTTAAATGATGCCCTAACAACATAACTTCTTTCTATTCTTTGATATCCCCACGACAGACATTCTTATCTTCGACAAAGTATATATGAGACTACAAGTAGCAAAGAAAATTAAATGACACAAGTATGACTTACACTTAGAACTGCAGCATGAATGGGGCTTCTTCCCCTGTCGTCGGGATTGACCCAACATTTGTCAGCACCTTGAGCCAAAGCTTCGCACATCACTGGTAAATTATGTGCCGCAGCAGCCTTGTATAAAAGTAGATCAGGCTGCAGCTTGGAAATGTCCTCTTCGCCTAAAATAGATCAAAATGAAATAAATATATACTCCAGTGTCGAAATAATAGGCAGCGACTCATTCTCCACATGTAGACCTGTGCAACGCCTAAGGTATGCGGGGAATGCATTTCATTTTCCAAAAATTATTAAATATAGAGCAAATAGCTATGTCGCAAACCATTTTTCAAATATCTCACTTATCCTCACAGTAGTCTCTTGTTCATCGCTACTTGAACACATGTAAAGCTATCCTAAAAAGTCAATTTTATCATACAATGTTCATGATCTGTTAAATTTGGTCATTTACGAATATCCTGATTAGTAGACTGGCCACTAACAGCCACATACGATTCTTAACAACGCTTATCGGAATAATTAACGTGAAAATAATGCTTTCCCGCTTATACGCTTATGATAAGCACTGACACGTTTCAGCTGGAAAGTGTCACATCACACAAGAAGTCAAACCATGCAGCTCAGTGATCTCCATTTTTGCTATTTCATACGCACACACAAAATTATTGAATTAGTAAAAATTTTTCAATTTCAATTTATTTCACTTACCAACAGTTTCATCGTCCTCCTCCCCACCCGTAGATTCCTGATCGCTACTCAAATCTATAGCGCCCTCTATCGGCTGCTTGTCCAGGTCATTTCCGAAAAGCAATATACTGGTACGCTTCTTCAAGCTGTTTCGTTTGGAAGATTCGCTGTTGGTGTCATCTTCTTTACCGCTACTGGCACTGCCACTCTCCACGCTTTCCGGTATCTTATCGATCTTATCAGCCAGGTCCTCCACCGACTTAGAGAGCCTCTTCTTTTCCCGCTTGTCACAGCTCCTGGGTCTCCGCCGCATTTTCCTCACGCTCCACTTGCGCACCTCCATCAGACTGGCTCGAGACGTCCTGTTGGATGACGGAGACAATTTGTTGAATTGTGGTAACTTCTCGACGAATGCCTTATCTACGTATTTGGCTTTTATCCATGTCTCCCTAACAGCACTGAAAAGAGAATTGGATTATAAAAATTTACCGGAAACAAGCAATAGGATCTAAGATTTACCCAATGCAGTGTTCCGAAGCCCTAACAAAGTTTTCAGGTACGTTAGCCTCATAAATTTTGTTAACGAGTGAATTGCCAAGTTCGGCCATCACTTTGATGATTTCAGGCTCCCAGTCGTCCAACGTTAAAGATCGGACTTTACTATAATGAACACCTAAACTTCTATGAACACCAGAACATTCTAAAAAATAGATAAAGGGTCAGATAATGTTTAATCTTAGTACAGGAATTTACGAACCGATGCAAAGAGTTATCCCTAGATTAATGCTAGCCCAACGCGGATTCGGGCTACCGCAATCACAGCAGTAGTTATTGCCAGGAATTTTTAACAATTGCTCCCACATCCTACAAAAAAATATAACAAATTCTATGTGACAAATGTGATTTCGCTGTTACACAACTTACTTTATCTTCTTGATTTTGTTGTTGTTAATAGTAGACAACTGTCCAAACGAATTCTTCCCGGAGATATCCTCAGAATATCGAATTACTTGGTTTTCGCCCTTTTTGTTATCCATGTCTACGCTGTGTGCCCTTTGAATGGCGGCACCGATGCCCTTTTGCAGGGCTACAATCCAAGATTCGTACATTTCCTTGGAGTCTGCTTGCAACATGTGGCTCCTGTGGAAAATTAATATGAAATTCAAATTGGAACGGTAGATATTCAGTTGTGTACCCCTAAGGTACATTTGAACTACTACAAAAGTTTTGAACTATATCCTCAAGGTACATTTGAACTTCTGTCAAATACTGAAATTAAAATTTTGAAGTCTATTTACTTCAGTCATTTATAAAAAAATGTTTAAATTTGAAGAAAGTCGCTTACTTGGACGGTGACAAGACTTCAAAACAGAATCTTCTTTCTCCGTCTAACACTGGTTTGACTGTACATAACCTCAAATCGTCCTCCATAACTGTTTCGTGCTCTTCTCCGGACCGTTTTCTAAATCGCAGAATAACTTATTTGTGAAATGTTTAAATATGATCACCGTTTACATTAATAGAAAAAAATGTATTACGAATGAACTTGATCGAAATTAATTTTACCTGTAGACTAATTTGTTGTCGTAGAGGTAAAACCAGCGACGATTCCAGGTTTTGAAAGCATTCGAAGTCCTTTTGAACAAGTACCCCTCCATCGTAGGCGAAGCCCTGTCATTTCTTAACAAAACCGGTTCGATGTTGGATACCACTGCATGTGTATTTTCTAATTCCTTCTGTACCTTATATGTTTCTTCCCGCATAACTGCTATCTTAAAATTTAAAAAAAACATTATGCGATGCCCAGAAGAATACGGAATAAATATTTTTTTAAATAACTAACACTTCTTTGATAAGTGATAAATAAAACAATACTTATCGCAATAAATAACAAAAGTAAATAAAGTAAATTAAACAGCAAATTCAATATTAATGAGATAAGTTTAATAAAGTCCCTTAATGAATAACTTCCCATTACTCCCTTTACATTGAATATACTGAGGAAAAAATAAATAAAACATTTTTTTTCACTTACTTCGTCTGCCAATGTTTTGAAAAACGGTTCCAAATCGGCACAGAGGTCGGAGCCCTGGTGGTAATAAGTCGTACAGGCATGCATGTACGACAACAGCTGAGAAATCATATCCTCCGTCAATTTACATTGTAAATAAATATTAACACATCTATAAAAAATGTCATATCTCTATCTCCGGAAAATTGTGCAAAAATTTACAACAGATAAGACCAAATAGAGCTCAAATAAATCAATGTTTACTCAATTTACATTATTTGATTAGATATGCCTCCAAATACATACCAATATAAACTTTAGATGACCATTATTATTGGCAAATACAAAACTACTGCTGCTACTACATTTCCATTTATTGAAGGGGGAAGGGTTCTAAAGGGCAGTACAATTAATTTGGACATTCTGATGACTCAACTGCTGATAAATCAATACTGTTTGTTTGTAGTGTGAAGCAGTAAATTTTGTGACACTCATTTCTGGTATTGTCAACAGCAGCATCTATTTCAAGAAGAGGTACTTAAGATTAATAATAAAATGCATGTTGAAGCCACAGATGTCAATGTGTTTGTAATAAACTGGCAAGTACATACTTACAGAGAAAATGCAGGGAATTATTATCAAATTTTCTTGAAGTAGTTTTTTGTTTAAGAATCATATATTATACCTATTTGCATAGGTCATATGTTTTATTTAAAAGGGTTGGCAAAGTTTTAGCAACAATGAAATTTAATATTAAAGGTAAATATAAAATATCGGGCTGATAATATCGCTTATAACATATTTCATAAACCTGTTTCACATTTAGCAGTCTTTGAAGTAATAGATTACAAGAAATTGTCATATATACATTACAATAAATTGGCCAACTTGTTGGGCAAATGTAGCTACCAAGCTTTAGAAAAAAAAACAATAACAAATCATAACAGATGCATATAACTGCATACCTAAGCCACTAAAAAGGTAAAAATTAGAGTTACCAAAATTGGCCAATAAATCAAAGCTGGCTCTATAGTCTCCAATTTCTTGAACAACTTATTGAGGCTAGAAAATGTATGAATTACATACACCAAATATAACTTGGTTAATTTCTTTATCGACTTATTGGGTCAATAGTTGGTAAATCTAAGACAGGTTTAAGAAGTTCAAGCAAAAAATATGTTGACTTACTGTACTGAGGATTTCATGCCTCTTTTTGGACTGCAGCACGCTGATACTGTTTACGTAGTCCAGAGTTTGGTGCCCGAAACACGATCTAACTGCTACCAAGATGTTCTGAACCTCCTCGACTTCTTGTTGCTTACTGCGTGGGGTATGAGAGTTGCGCAGCAATACATTGTCGTACTCCGAAGAAATTTTTTCAAAGTGTTGTTTATAGTCGCGGACTTGTTTTATATCACTGAAAAAATTTATTGAATGGTACTTTTTCAGGAAATATGTTTATGTTCTGAAGTACCAACTTGCATATTATGCAGAAGATATTGCATTCAATTTCAAAAATAGTATTGCAATGTGAACATAAAGTAGGCAGTTCTTATTGTTAGAGAAAAATGTAAAAGGTATGTACATTTTAAATAAACTAAAGTTGTGCCACAATTAGTTTTTTTTATTTAGAATGTATTAAGCGTCAAACGACTAATAAAAAATGCAATGTTAACAAACAAAAGACCTACAGCATTATAGCAAAGTTAAATTTAATCGAAGCTGCATACTTTATCTCTAACGGTGCGTAAAATTGAAATAACTCACTAATTAATTGTTTTTTGCTGATGTCACACTTCGAGAACAATATCCAAAACTGGTTAATTACATATTGTTTTACTAAAGTTGATGTTAACTTACTTTTTTATAAAAGACGTGAGATTCTTCAATATAGTTCGAGACGCCTGGTCTAGTAAGATCGTATGGAATTTGTTCATTTCTTGCAAACTATGGATGAGTTTGTTCAGAGAAGACAGTACCACTGGGTCTTCTTTGAAGTGGGTACTCAGGTCCCACAAGCTATTCGCAAATAAGCTGAAAATACACGATTTTTCTCAAGATATATTAATTAACTTGAAAGTAAATATATGGTGGTTCATTAGTGTGCTCTGTAATTATTTGAGACACAAAAAAGTATTACAATAAATGATGGGGTGGGGGATAAAAAATGCTGTGTTTTAGTATACAGAGAGATGTAAGACAATCCGGCAGAAAGTTAGTTTTTCCTATAAATTTTTGCATATTTCAATTTATTGTATAATTCTGCAGAGGGTGGTGTAAATAATTTTACGTTTGATTGAGGCTTTGCTAAATTATCTAAACTAATAGAAAAAATCAATTTGTGTCATATATGTACGTTCTAGTCAATCAAAACATTATTATAATGGAAATAATTTACTTACATTACTATGGCACGAATAATTTGAGATATTTTGCACAAAGCATAAACTACATATTGTGGAATCCCTAGTACCAAGCTTGTGTAAAAATATGAGCACTTCCAATGGGTGCACTATAAAACTATTTTTTTTATTATTAAAATGTTGATGTAGTTTGATTAATATTATCATTAAGATAAAAGTACAGACAATACGTTATTAAATAATACTAATGAAATATTATATTATCTTTTTATTTTTAAACTAGAATTTATATGTGCATTAGTGATTGAATAAAATATTGTAGCAGCATCACTTCATTTTTAACCCAGATATGATAAAATGCTTGATTTTATTTTATTTTAGAAAATCTTGCTCTGTATAATCCATTTCTTCGCACTGGATAACAGATAATATTTTAAAAACCAAATAGATCGATCAGAAAAAAACAGTTGTGCGTTGTGCAAGCCATGTTTATTACTGTTTAAGTAGTACCTACTATTTTGTTTTATTGAATTACGTATTTTTGTTGATTTTGGCATTTGCCATCATTTTACATTTGAACGCAGATTAATTTTGATACTTTATTTTGTTTAAAGTGCGTTAAGTAACCTTAATTAAAATAAAAAATAAAATAATGAAAAAGTGTTTCTGGATGTAATGTCTAAATCGAATTTATCGAATACCACACAATAGGTTCCATTAAAAGAAAAAAAAACTATTAGACTATCAGGCTTTTGTAAAAGAGGAAACTGCAGAAGTAATTTAGTGTACAGACTTGAGTAATATTTGAGTATAAAAACGATTATCTCCATCATTCCATCACACATATGACATATGCATGCGTCATCTCCGCCTAAGTAATACTTAAGCATTTTACTCTACAGATTTGGTCAGCGGTTTCCTTCTCACTTTTATATGTCACCATATACATATATGTGTAAATGTATTTTTGATTTCATCCTCTTTCTTTGGATCTCGAATAACTACAGAGCAGAGCTACTTTACTTTGGCGTACTATAATAGACCACCTTGTGTATGGAGAATATCGAATTCAAAGTTCCTTTTGTAATAAGAATTAAAATTTATAATATAATTTCAAGAACTCTATTTTTTCACAATTTAAAAATTTGATTGAGTAATATATCAAATTTGGATAATTATCTTTATCAAAAAATTAATCTGCAATATTTATTACTCATACAATGTGTTGATTACGTATAGATTTAAGATTCACTTCAAATATTTGATAAAATATTTGATCATGACTGATAAACAAGCAATAAAAGCAGTATAATAAACTATGAAATCACAAAATATGTTAGTTGTATATTTTCAGGAAGATAACTTTAGTATATTATCCCTTTAAGACTCAGTTTTATATTTTAAGTATGTAAACTTAGTCATTTTCTCTAAAAACATTAAAACAAATACCTAGTTCCTTTTTAGTGTCTAACAGTGTTATTAAAGTTAGAACAATTACTTTCAATCGTCTTTCAAATGAATATTCACAAAACTCACAGTGACCATATAATTTTTTCTATATTTGATTAATTATAAGTAATGATTTGCTTAGAAGAATTGTAGAGTACTTAATAAACCATAAACCACAAGTTGTACGATATGAAATTAATAATACAACAAATTAATTTTCCTGGACAGTTCATCATAAATTATTATGTTTACAAACATTCCAAATATTTACATATTCCGAATATTTCTCGATATGTTATATAATTGTACATAGAACTGTTGTTTAAGAAAATATTAAAGTGGTCAAGATGATCCTGCATAAATTAATACAGGTAGACACTAGTGACTCACAGCAAACAAAATATTGTGGGTTAAACTTTAACCTTGTTGAGATTTTTGTACATAAGAATGATTATAACATTAGTCATTTCAATATCATCGTTTCTGTTGTTCCAGAAAAAAAATGATTTAATGATTAATAATAACAAATGGCTTTTTTATCCAATAGATTGATACTCTTAATTGCTAAATTAGATTATAAAAATGTAAGGCCTATAATTTTGCAGATAAGATAAACTATTTAAAAATGTGCATTTTCTAGCAACTAATAGGCTGTTATTAACATGTGCACTTAATGAAAACAGTCACAGTTTGTGACAGCAATTAAGGCAATTAAAATTGTTAAATGCAAACCTTTGTTGGCCAACATATGTTTTTCCAGCATCTATCATAGACCCGCATACTTTTAGGATTTTTTCCAGCCTACTTTCAAGCTGATCAATGCTCGATTCTTCCTCCTCCAACAAACTTCTAAAAATAAAATACATCTTGATGTAAATGTTTATAAACAATATTCCAAGAAATGCTAACTTGCCTGAATTTAGGTGAATCTCTGAGACATTCCTGCAGTTCTATTTTGCCAACCATTTTGATAAATGCAATTTAGGACTATGAACATAATACAGTTCTTCTTGATAAGTTAAATGCACTTAAATGCTTTTAAATTGAGTCATCGAAAGGAGAAAACCACTTTCTTATTTTTCGTCTACACGTCAAACGTCAAGCAAGACAGCAAGACTATGACCCCAGGACAGCAACATAAAAATAATGTTTTATTTATATATTTAAATTGGTAACCACCTGCGGCTACTTTCTGAGCACATGTTGAGCGTGCCAAGTGTACAAGGTTCACGCTAAAACTAGTTGACTAAAGACTAAAGATGACGATGACGGATAACGGGAATGGTTAATCTATAAATTCGAAACGGTTGAGGACACGGTATATTAAATTGATCTCTGACTAGTTTTTGAATATTTCAAGAGTAAAATAATCAGGTTAGTATAAATAGTTACAAATGGAGAATTATTTATGGTTTTTGATTGTTTGAAAATAAATATAAAAATATATAATGGGTATGGGTGTACACATCTTTATTGAAGCTTAACACAAAGAGACTACCAAATTAAAGTATCTAATATTTACTTGATATTTGTCTTATAAAAGGAAGTACCCTGCACAATGTCAGGTGATGACTGACTTCTCGTTAAACTGGGTGCTACTGAAACACTCGAGGCCGCCGATGACTGCATATCTGAAATTTGAAAAAGTCCTAACTTTGAACTATCAATATTCAAAATTTTTTCCCTACATTTCTCATCTATCTTTATCTCATAATTTTCTAGAACTGGACCTATTTGAGGAAAGGGATTCCTCAGATCGCCATTGCCATTTTCTTTAGTTGTTTTCTCTTTATTGCGGCTATTAATATTAGATTGAGATTTCTTTTTGGCCTTTTTCGTTTTAGTTTCTTTTTCATTTAATATTTTGATTTCGGGTACTCCAGCAGTCTGTTTTCTTTCAAAAATTTTTATAACTTTTTCATTTTTAGATGACTGAATGCCACTACAAGAAGGTCTAGGCTCTTTTTCCAGTTTTTCAGGAGTCTCATCTTGAATTCGTACTCTTTTCGGATCTTTATGAAGCTTTTTTTTATCAGGCCTCTCATTTCTTTTAGTAGGAATTTCGTGGTGTATATATTTTAGCCTACTATTGGTTTCACTTCTCGTTCTTTCTAATTTCAACTTTTCAAATTTTAAATTGAGATTATCAACTTCTAACTGGAGACAAAGATTCTCATAGACTAAACAACCGTTTTGTTTAACCAGCTGGAATATTTTTTTTTAGAATTATTCAATATTAAAATTCAAAATAAATACATACCTGTAGATATTTCTTACTGCTTGGAGAAATTGAACTATGCAATTTTTCATTTACTAAATCATTCAGCTCCGAGGTTAAATTTTCTATTTTCATTTTATAGTCGTTTTCCAACTAAAAGAAAGATTCTATATTCCCGCCGTTTCTTAATACGTATAAATATTAAACTGCTAAAAAAATATTTTACATAATAATTTTTTATACCTCTATACCTTTTCATGTTCCAATTTCATTGTTTTGAATTCCGTCTTCAAACACGTTTTTGTGTTTTTCATTCTTAAAAATTTTATGCTTAAATTATAATTAGCTTCCAAAGTCTGATTCAAAGTTTGCTTCAATTTCATAATTTCACTTTTACATTCTGCTACAGTTTTATCATCGCCAGCTAACGAAGAACTACTTATTAACCTTTTAATTTTTTTACATTCATTCATTTCTTGACAATAAATTTCTTTTTCCTTAAAATAAAACTCCCTTTCATCTTTTAACTGCTTGGCTAAACTATTATTGGATCTTTTCTGTTTCAAAAGATCTAAATGTAATTTTTCCTTTTCTCGAGCTAGTCTTGCTATGGCGACTTCTTTTTTCTCCGTATCTTCCTGTAAAGCATTAATTGCCGCCTTTAAATTCGTTATTTGGTCTTTAAGTGCCTCTATTTCTTTAGCTAAAAGAACTTCCTCTGTCATTGGAACTTCCCGATTGCCTGCAGGTTCATATGACGGGTTTGAAGGCTTTGACAGTACTCTCCTGCAATTTTTCGTATTTACGAGCTGTTATAAATAATGCAAAAATTTACCTAACCAGTTTTGTTGGACCGGATAACTTAGACTTTAAAGCTTTTTTCATTAAAAATAAGACAGTAAATTATACCAAATAACTTACAAATCTTTAGATGTTTCACTGTCATTACACTGGCATATTTCTACAAATTTTGACACTGCTTTTAATTTCAGTTTCGGATAACAAAAGTAAAAGTAATTATCGTATAACCCCTGTATGTTTTGCAGTATGACTATAGCCGTTATTGGATGTTATTGACACATACTTCTGTTATTGATTGAAATGTTGACATTTGACAGATTCAAGCAAACAACAAGGAATTTTTAGGTTAATTTGTCGTTAACTAATAAAGGAAGTTAATTTAATAGTAACTAAAAATGAATAATATAGTAGTGCCTGGTGAAAAACATCCCGAAATTACATCGGCAGACGAAACAAGTTTGTTGGTTGTTATTTTAGATAGCAATCCTGGGCAAAAAATGTTAAGGGACAATCCTCATGTTCTAACTCACTGTATTGACTCTGTGATAGCATTTGCAAATAGTCATTTAATGCAAAAGTCTCAAAACAGGTTAGCAATAATGGCTTGTCATTCAAAAACAAGGTAACTTTTCTCAAAATCAATAGAGAAGTACAACTTTTAGCTATTCTTTTTGCTTAGTCAGTTTATATACCCTGGACCAGGAAAACCACTGGATGTAAGACAAGTTGATGGGCAATATGAAGTTTTTACTGCAGTTGAAAAGACAACAAAACAAAACTTGGCGAAGCTGCTGTCATCTGAAAATTCCACCATTGTTACAGAGTCACTTTTAGCAGGAGCAATCGCCATGGCTCTTTGTTATATTGCGAGAATACAAAGGACGAAACCTCCAGGTGCTAAGGTATACAAAATATGTCTAACAGAACATTTAAAATATGAGTAATGTTTTTCAGTTGAATAGCCGTATTTTAGTCGTTACGGGAAGCGGATGTTCTGCGTCACAATACATGAACTACATGAATGTTTTTTTCACCGCCCAGAAACAAAACGTTGTGATAGACGTTTGCACATTGGACCAGCATTTGAGTTTATTGCAGCAGGGTTGCGATATTACAAACGGTTTATATTTAAAAGTCCCACAACTGCAGGGATTGCTACAGTATTTATTGGTAATTCTTGTAACCATTCTCTGTATTAAATGTGTCTGAAAATATTGTTTTCAGTGGGTATTTTTACCAGAACCACCTATTAGAGAAAAATTAGTACTCCCACCACCTGTAAAGGTTGATTATAGAGCTGCATGTTTTTGCCATAGAGAACTTATTGATATTGGATATGTTTGTTCTGTCTGTCTTTCAAGTAAGTTGAACTAATAAGTGCCAAAATTGTAAGTAAACGTATATATATTTTTTTAGTTTTCTGCAAGTTTAGTCCAATTTGCACAACGTGTCAGTAAGTATACATTTTCCTAAACTGTTTGAGGTATACATTTTTAAGTACTTACTTAAAGTTACTTTCATTTTTTAGTACTGTATTCAAAATGCCAGCTCCGTTAGCTGTTAAACCAAAGAAGAAGAGGATTAAACTGTAATTTTTTAATTACATTGTGAATGTTTAAGTTTTATAATTTGTTGCATATTTTTTTGCATTAAAAATACTTTTAAATAAATACAAAATACAAATTAAATGGTATGATTCTTAAATTTTGATGTATTATTATGAATGTGGATAACAGACCATATATTAAAATCTGTATTAAAAATAATAGAAAAAAATTGGGAATTAAATATTCTTCATTCAGAGATCAAAGGACCTTTAATTTGTGAAAAAAGTCAATAAAGAAATGGTGTTATTTTTGTCAAAGGGTTGATCGTTCTAATTCATAAGGAAATTAATAATTTCTAGTACTGCGAATGTGATTCGTATTTGTGTGGTATGAATTATAAAAAATGTCTCATTTGTGAAGCTCTTGCAAATATTTAAATAAACATAATGTTACTTGTAGGTAACTAACTAACTTTAATCACTGTAATTGTTTAAAGCCTGGTATGTACCTTACAGGATTATTCAGCATTGTAATTACAATCAATAAAGTCAAGTCACTTTTAAGAGACGGCGTAATTGTCACACATCACAAAATATATCGTTATTATTATATTATTTATAGTTCTATGGTAGTTTCTTTTTTTTTATAAATAATAAATGTTGGAGCCACTTTGAGATATTTAATTTCAATTTTCATATATTTTTACGTTTTCTCTTGGGGCACAATATAATTTTTATTAATAAATATTTAATTGTTCCACTGCAGCACTATAAACAATACATTTGGAAGATGAGATGTTCTTAGGCTCTCCAACTGCTGAATTGGCATTACTCCACAAGTAGTTTTCTATTCTGGGCCACAAGGTAGTTAATTTCCATATCAGTTTAATACCTATTTTTTTTTTTACTTGAAACTACTATTCGATCTAAATGCAAAATAAACTGCTATTTGTATTTACATTATTTCAATGCTATTGCAAAAATAAAAACGTAACACTTAATCAAAGATTATAGTCATATGAGTAATTAAATAAGAGGGTTTTATTCTGTCTTCTGTCGGCAGCAGCGGTAGGGTACCTCCATCTGTAGCTGGTGTAGCAAACGACACACTCGGAAACCACATACCATAAAATAATTAAAGAAACTGCATTGAAAAACACAATTAGAGTAATTTCTAATTCTACTATCTAATAGATGTCGCTGCACCACAATGGCGGTAAATTTAAATATAATGAAATGCACTAAAAATAAAAAGTATTTCATAAGTAATAGGTCATAAAACAGCTACTAATAATTTAAGATAATAACTTTTTTTTCGCGAGTGTAGTAGTATGTGTAGTGTGAGAGAATGAAGAGATTTAAATTACCAGATGACAACTAAGATCAAGAGAGATAGAAAAAGTAATTACACGTCAGATGTTCACCAATATACAGTCGCGAAAAAAGCCTACAGATTCGATCTGTGGTTGCAGATTTCTGTTTAACAATTTCTATAAAGGACAATGTTTTGCTGCACCAACACGAGATGGCCTCAGTGAATGCATGCTCCGTTCGCCCTATCCAATAAAATCCTCCTATTTATTTACTTATATGATTATAGTATATCCATTTTTTATGAAATCAAATACGCAAACTATAATAAATATTTTCCCTACAAGACTAATTTCAGTAATTCCACATTATTGTTATAGATGTCACTTTCTCACTGCAAAAATGCAGCTGACTTTCGAAGAATAAACAGATTTAGGGAATCAATTTAAGTATCTATAATAGATAAGTAGGTAGTTCAATATTTTTAATGTCTTTAGTTATGGTATTTATTACAAATTATACAATAATTCGAAGTTAAGATCATTCTTAGAAATTGTGCAGAGGTACAAATGTGAACAAGGGCGTAGCTAGGATTTGTGCTTGGGGTGAGCCCAGGAGCCTATTTTTTTAAAGTTCTTTTCACTTTTCATTTTACAAATGTAGAAAAGCGAAGAAAAATTCTATTTAATAAAAAAAGCAACTTTTACTCTGTTTATGAGAAAAATTATATTATTGGATGTTTTTATTCTGAGGTCAGCTTTCTGGGGTGGGCCGTGGGCACACCTCTGCCAACCCTATATGCCCATGCCCATGAATGTGAAAAATTGGATAGTTTTAGGTACCTACTATTACAAATTATACATAAAATATGTTCCAGTTTGAATGAAACAAACTTTAATTACTACTAATAATTTTTGTCACCATTATGTTAGTCCACGAAATGTAAAAAAAAAATCAGGAATGAAGAAATGAATAAACCATTGCTTTCATCTATTTCCTGTTGGAGTGTTTTGAATTTTAAGCGACTCTGAAACTCGAATAAAAAAAAACCGGTATATATTTTCGGAATACGGGCCTATTAATAGACAAAATTTTTTAATATATTTACAGTCTCGGCGGGAGACCTACTTAAGCTCCTTGGGATGGGTTTATTAATCCGCTTAAAAAAACGGACTGAAACTAGAACGCCTCATCGTGGGGGACATAAACAAAGTAACAGAATTAACACATTCTCGGCGAGTGGTATTTCGCAAAAAGTAACCAAATTGGCATAAAATAAGTATGCAACCGCCGCGCGAAGTCAGAAATTTATAAATTTTCCGAAAGTCACGTGCCAGTTAGTGTACGCACGCGTTGAAATTTTGACGTTAAGAACATTAGAGAAAAGATAATGAAATTCGTTAGTAAAGAGTAAATGTGATGTAATTTTAGTGACTTAAACCTGGAGAAAACATTGTTTTAATAGAAACAGTTATGTGCTCGTGGGAAATATTTAATGACTAAAGTTCACAGGTAAATGCACCTACCTGCCACGATTTTCTCACCTGTCCCCTGTCTCCTCTCAAGTGTCATACTTATTTTTATTTAATCTTAAACCACGTAAAACTTAATTGAGACGATTTCCAGTTAAAAACAAACAAAATTGTAAATAATTTCTTTTTATATACGAACTCGGTTTATGAATTTAGTCTTAACCTCAATTATTTCAGATTTATGTAAAAATGGTAGTGAAATCTCCATTAAAACGTACTGTGCGTATTTTGCTAGTGGGTGATAGTGGTGTAGGTAAAACCTCCTTAATTTTATCCCTCGTAAGTGAAGAATTTCCGGAGAATGTACCACCAAAGGCAGAAGAAATTACCATACCGGCAGACGTTACTCCCGAACAAGTTCCCACTAATATTGTGGACTTTTCATCAGCCGAACAAACAGATACCGACTTAAATGAACAAATTAAAAGGGCCAGTGTGGTTTGCATCGTGTATGGTGTCGATGATGAAGATTCCATTGAGAGGATAACTACGCATTGGATGCCTCTCATAAGGCAAAACCATCCGGATAAACCATGCCCTGTGGTGTTGGTTGGAAACAAAATCGATCTTGTGGAATACTCAACTATTGATGTAAGTCAGTACATGCTATTTTTTTAATTTAGGGAAGTTTTAAATGAGATTTTTTTACGAAATAAATATATTTTAGGGTATATTTGAAATAATGGCAGAATTCTCTGAAATAGAAACTTGTGTAGAATGTTCTGCAAAAACTCTGAAAAATATTTCAGAGATGTTTTATTATGCTCAAAAGGCAGTCCTGCACCCTACATCACCAATTTATTCAGTAGAAAAAGAAGACGTGAGTAAAACCGCAAACACGTTACCTTTCGTAGTTGTAAAATTATATTTTATTCCAGTTGACAGATGCATGTAAAAAGGCACTAATTAGAATTTTCAAAATTTGTGATATAGACTGTGACGGTTTACTCAACGACATAGAGTTAAATAACTTTCAAAGCCGTTGTTTCAACGCACCGTTACAGCCACAAGTTCTAGATGATGTTAAGGCTGTTTTGAGAAAGAATTTGGAAGACGGAGTGTGTCAGAATTGTGTTACGATGAAGGGATTTTTGTATTTGCACAGCTTGTTTATACAGAGGGGTAGAAATGAGACCACATGGACAGTGCTGCGAAAATTTGGATATAACGATAACTTAAATATGTCTAAGGATTATTTATTCCCAAGGTAGGAAATAATTATTGTAATATCGCACTGTAAATTTTTGCTCTTTCTGACTTTTATCCTATAATAAATAATTCCTATTTAAATCAGAGATATTATCACTGTTGATCGGTTTATCACGGGTTAAACTTGATAGGTTTATATCATATTGTAAATAATCATCAATGTTTGGGTAGATAACACATGAAAATATTTCATATTTTTTAATTATTACAATTATATTTTGTTCTGTTTGAGGAATTTAGGGATAGTCAAAAGTGGGAATACAAGTAAAATTTCTGTTGGTCCAACTTTTTAACAGTCCCACTAAAAATAATAGAATTATGTGCAGTGCCCCATTTAAATTTAAAAAAACTGGGAGATGTGGTTCCTCAAAAAAAATATTGGGGTTATTCACTTAATGTTTTTCTTTACATTGTGTATCTAGGATACAGGCTGTTAAAGTTGTTACTTTGAATGGGGTTTTTATTAATTATGGATGAAAATAAACATATCAAAATTTGTAAGCAAATAAATATCAACTTTGTCTTTAAAAAAAATGTGCAGTTTGAAGAATATATGTTAAAATCAAAGTTACTAATTTAGTTTTTTTTGTTTTTTTTTTAAATCTTCCGGACATTGAAGAAAACAAAATTCAATTGTTCATCAACTTTTAAATTAAAATTGAAGTTGATGACCCAAACCAGATTTCGACCCAGATTCATACCGTTTTTTTGAGACAAATTTCTAATTAATTTTTGTGTAGTCTGTAATCACTTAAAAAACAGATTTTTCACAACTACCCTTTTTGTTCTCTGAAAAAAATTTCAATTTTTTTTTCGTCAATTTAAATGTTATTTGCGGTAAAAATGTGAGAAAACCTCAAAAAAATTTTTTTAGGCTCAAAAAACTTGACCCTTTAATTTTTTTCAAAGATTTGACTTTGAAACAAAGAAAGGGTTCGCTAGATCGAGATGAAACTTCACAAGCTTCTTCTAGGTATATCAAACTGTAAAAGTCATGTTTAATATTAGTCATTTCGTAAATATTTCTAATTTAGTCGTCAATTTTCTAAAAAACCATAAATTACCATTTTTTTCCTATTTTTTAAAATTCGTGTAAAAGATGAAAAAATATTTTTTCCAAAAAGTTGCAGCAGCATGTTATACGAAATTTATTCCAGTTTTCGAAACTGCCCTTCAATTCTCTGTACGACCATTTGTCATCGAGATATTGATGATTGAGGGTAAAAGGATCCTTTTCCATTAAAACTCCAATATTTCGATGAAAAATGGTCGTATCGAAATAAAAAAAAAGGAAATTGAAGCTGAATAAACAAGCTATCTGGTCCATACAATGGCTTAACTGAAACAAATTTATCCAAGTCAGTGGACTCAGAAAAAAAAAGAAAATTGCAAAATTTTTTTGTCATGCTATTTCTTAGAATTGCATGATAACTGTAGCTCCTAAAAAATTTCGAAAGATCTAAAAACTAGAATCTTAGAGCTTCAAAATGCTTTTTTCTAATTCCCAATACGACCATTTTTCACTTAAATACAGTCTGTCAAAAATCATGTAAAAATTTCGGAAATTCTTCTGACTTTTTAATTGCTTGCGTTAGTGTATGTGAAATATCCTTTTATTTTTCCTTCATATGTGGTTTTAATAATTATTTGTCATTTTCTGTGAACTAAGAGCTTTTCCCTTATTTTTCTCGAAAAATAAAAATGTACATCCTATGGATTTTCAACTAGTGTACCTTTTTTATAGTATTATTATTATTTGCTGTTTGCAAAGCATTTATGAAACTTTGATTTTTTAACAAATTTTTCTTTCAGTTATACCTAAGTACTATCTATTTTCATGTTTTTCTTCACACACAGTTTATATTATTTATTCTTGTACAAACGTTGGCATCTTTGTCTTTACTTTAACACCTTGTATCCAGGAATGCAACATCAATGAGAAAAAGTATTTTTTGTAGAATAAACCTTGTATACTGTAAAAAAATAATTAATTAAGAAATAATGTATTATTACTTGAAGCTTAAAAGTACCGTCAGGGTGCACCACAGAGCTCTCGCACAAAGGCCAACAGTTCCTCACGCATATATTTGAAAGATTCGATAAAGACAGAGACAGGGCTCTTTCTCCTGCAGAATTCGACGAGCTCTTTTCTACCTGTCCCACTCCTGCTTGGGGCCCCGATGTCAGTGCCATGGTCCCTACCAACGAGAAGGGTTGGATCACTTTGCAAGGTTATATGTGTCAGTGGGCACTGATGACGCTTGTCGATCTGCCGAGGACTTTCGAATACCTGGCCTATTTGGGGTATAATATTTACGAAAATGAGAGTCAAGTAACGGCAGTGCAAGGTTTGTAGGGTGAAAATCCTTTGCATTTTAAAATTCAATGCATTTCAGAAAATTCAGGTGATTGCTTCAAAAATGAGTGTTTGTAAAGACTACTATAAAACAGATACAGAAAAAATGGACAGATACGATTTTTAAGTTCTCTAAAAAACTGATGAGTCAGATTTCAGTTTGATATTTCCTTTAGTGAGCCATAGGTAAATTAATTTTTACCTAAAACAGGTCGATGTGTTGTTCCATGCTTCGTTAGAAAGGAATCATACATTTTTATTTCCAGTTTCTTTCAATTATTTTCTTTCAGCGCTTTGTACTACAAACATTATTAATTTCATTTTGTAATAACAACATTTTGTTCATTCTGAAAAAAAGGGATTTTTTCAAATTTAAAAGTTAGTCAGTTCCGTGGACAAATAGTAATTGAGGCTAAATTCTTTACGCTTTTTAATTATTTCTGACAATTTAAATTTGTCTGTCTCTGCTTATTTCCTTAGTTGGAGGCATGATATGATGTTTAGTCTTTTATTACTTACTTACTTCATCTCTTAACAATTTTTAGCCAACATCCAAGGATCCAAGTTCACAAAATAATTTGAAGCGTCTTTCTCCCTTCAAAAAAAAAATCTGTCTCTTTTAATTTACTTTTAATGGTATGCACTATTTTCCTTCTCCCAAATTTTGGCTGAACGTCATTGAATTATATGCTCATTTCCCAAGCAAAATCACAAATATTTGATTTCTCAAATTCTCGTTAAGGTGTACTATAAATGTACGTGGCATAATACCCTATAGATAAGGAAAAAAAAAATGAAAACTATGCCACAAGTAAATAACTTTAGATTTCTCGATTTTCAAGACAAATTGAATATTTGGTATCTTTGGTGCTGTATCGGTTAGAATTAAAATAAAATTGGTCCCTATGAACTGTTCGACATGGAATCTATTGATGATACTAGTTTTTTTAGTGGATCTCATGGTTACTATAAGCTATAACACAAACTTGTGTGCTTTTTAATGGAACCTCGAATGGAACCAATAGTTGGTTAAGATGTAGAAAATAGAATAACGAATATGAGAAATACAGGAAATTATAATTTTTTTTATTTGAAATAGTTGCTAGGATAATAATCAAATTAATAGGTTGCCAAAAATGCCGTGGCAACTTACCTTTTTGAACTAGAATTAATAATAATGAAACTGGAGATAAAGAAATATATTTCTGCAAAGAAAAGGAGAGATAACGTTAGTGGCGGCTAATAAAAATAAATTATTTCTTTACAAAATAAAAACTATCTTATTTATATACAGGACCTTCATAAATGTTTACAAGCCATGTGACTGCCGAGCCTAGGCAACCTAACAATGCACGATTGGTACTGTAATTCAAAAACATATGAAGATACCAAATATCTGACTTAACACTTGATTTTGTCTTAAAAATTGATACCGAAAACGTATCATCAGTTTTTTTACAATTTTTAGTAATTTGTGAGATTCCATCAAAATTGACTCACACAATCAGTTCCATGTACAGGGTGATTCACTATATTTTGACCCCCCCCCCTTAACTTTTTTGTTTTAAGAGTTATAAAAAAATGTAAAATACAAAAGTTGCACGATTTTCTATGAATTTTAAAAAAATTATATTTGAAAATCAAATGAAGTCCAAACAAAATGGCCGCGGATGTTAACTTTGTTAATTTAAATGAAACACCCTGTATATACCCTGTATATTATTACATATTTGGATAGAACGTTCTTTGTCGAGCATAGTCATATAGGGTTTGTTGGGTCCATCTCTAACAATAAGCGAGATACTCTTAAAAAAAAACAGAATGTTTTTTTATTAAGAAAATAAGATATCTTGTAATTGTTAGACCTCTTAGGCATTTTTGCCTTTTTTCGAATTACGTAAGGATTAACAGATTTAGTTGTAATATATTTTGACATATCGGACATTGATATGGTCCAAAATGCGTATAGATATTCTAACTAAATCTCACTAATTAGGCCGTGAGAGGCCTAATTACTCATGGACAATGTTATATAGTAGGCCGTGACAGTGACAGATAATGTCATGATAACATTGTTATTGATTGACAGTTTGTATTATTATTTAATTAAAATAGGTTACACAGAAGTAGAAAATTAAAATATTAGGAATTAAAGTAGAGTATGGAGATCTTTACTCTAGCGAAATTTAGTTAGAATACCTAGCATTTTGGACCATATCAATGTCCGATATGTCAAGATATTTCACAACTAAATCTGTAAATCCTTATGTAATTTGAAAAAGTCAAAAATGCCTGAATGAGGTCTAAATAATTACAAGATGTCTTATTTTCTTAATAAAAAACCTTTTATTTTTCTAATAGTATCTTGCTTATTGTTAGAGAAGGTCCCAACAAACCCTATATGACTATGCTCGACAGAGAACGTTCTATCCAAATATGTAAAAATATATAGTGTTCTATTTAAATTAATAAAGTTAACATCCGCGGCCATTTTGCTTGGACTTCATTTGTTTTTCTAGTATCATTTTTGAAAAATTCATAAAAAATTGTGCAAAATTTAATAACCTACTTATATTTAAAAAAATTTGTTACATTTCAAAAATAGGCATGCATCTTAAAACAAAATGGAATACATGGTCTCTAATGTTTTTTGTAGTTGTATTGGCATTTTTTACTAATTAGATTCAAAGATAAAATACAGTCTTAAAATACTCATAATTGAGGTAATCACCAATATGGCACTATTTTTTTATTTCTTGTTGCAAGGGTAACAATTATTTATTTTTTTTTAGTCACGAGAGAAAAAAGGCTTGACTTGGTGAAAAAACAGTCGAGCCGAAACGTTTATCAATGCCACGTTATTGGTCCGATGGGCGCTGGGAAATCTAGCTTTTGTAGGAGTTTTATTAAGTCAGCACTTGATGTAAGTTGCAGCTTTTGACAAAGTTTAACATATGAATTTTGTCTCTTCATCAATCTTTTAATATTCTCTCGTTTGTTTAACTTTGTAAGTTATTTTCGTCTTTGTTTATCTTTTTATTAGTCAATAAAATTTCATTACCTTGAGCAAGTTGGTACCTACATTATAAATTTTGTCATTAGTTACGTATTGCAGTAATTTTATTGCTTCTAATAATTTTTTTTATTACCTTCAATCTGTTTTGTTTCCTTAATTTACTTTTTATAATTATTTTTTTATAAAATATTTCGTTAAATTAGCTTTTAACAATATAGAACAATGAAACGTCTATGATAAATATTTTTTTGTTTATAGAACTTTTTATTTTTTTTTATTTTGATTTCATTTATTAAAAGTCTACACCTTGCATCGAAATCAGAAATCCACTAAACATGGAAATTGCATCTCAAAGTTGATTTCTGAGCCACTTATATGAGAAAATAATTTTGAAATTACAGTCCATTTTAGTGGTCCATTTGTTCATTGTCTTTTTAAATCATTTATAGAAAAAAGAATGTGATATTATTTATAATATTTAGTAAACCGTGACTCTTCAAATCAAGCAAATCGATAAATATTTAATTTTGTAACCGGATTATTTCCATTTGTTTCATTCAAGGTTAACCTACGCAAACAATCGTATAAAAAAGTAAATTATTTTTGCCTTCATAAACAATATTATTTATCTTCAAATTACATGTTTCAACGATCCTTTGAAAAACACTTTCCAGGGTAAAAATGCTCTTATGGAGAAAACGGGAACCCCCAACTGTACAGTCAACGTGGTGCAAGTATACGGCCAGGAAAAAATAATGGTGCTAAGGGACATCAATGTCCGCAACGTATCTGACCCACTGATGCCACAAGAGGTGCAATGTGACGTGGCTTGTCTCGTGTATGACATAAATAACGAAAAATCCTTTGAATACATCGCCAGGATATATGTTGTACGTAAAATTGAATCAAAACGCATTTTTCACTTATCGTTGTTATTATTTTTGTAGAAATACTTCGCAGAGAGCAAAATTCCAGTGCTAATGGTTGCTTGTAAGGACGACTTAGAAGAAGTACGGCAGGAGTATCTTTTACAACCCGCCAGCTTCTGTCAAAAGTACAAAATTTTACCCCCGCAACGTTTCAGCGTCAAGGGCCCCTTGAAAAAGGACATGTTCGTCAAGTTGGCGACCATGGCCGCTTTCCCGTAAGTACTACCGCAGTCGTTTCTATTGAAAATTAATTTATACGCCAATTTATTAATTCTTGATTTTTGTTAGTCGTTTTCAAGCAGCTTGGATATTATTCTACAAGCACAGGTTTGTTTACGTAGACGTACAGCATTTTGTTCGATGTGTAATGGTTGGGCAAATTTCGTGGTAAAGAGGGTGTAAAATAAAATTGATGTGGGGCTAAGTCACACTACGGCAAATTGGCTTCGTAAGGCTTTACACAATTTATTTACAGCTTGATTTATACTCAAAAAAAATGTAGAAAATAAACTTTTTGTAACACAATTTTACATGAAATAGCACAAGTTGCGACACGGACACATGCGATTACACAATTGCACAAAATATACATATATTTATAATGTTATTGAAGTTATCCGCTTAAACCATTACCACCTAGTTTATAAAGTCCTCGACGTTTCATTCGTGACAGATAAGTTACTCGGTAAAGAAACGAAACGATCTTCCGATCTTCTCCCACTACTGGACCACACGCTCGGCCCTTTTTGAGCATGTTTGGAGTAATTTTTCACCTATTTCGCAGCACTTTATCGGAAAATTTGAATAATATACGTTTTGTAATATTATAATTCTACTTTTACAATATGGCTTCAAGAAATTTTGGTAAATTTTCAGATTTTTTCCGGTTTTCTTAGTTTCTAATTATCTGATCGGGTCAATTGACGTCTCGTTTTATTCATATTTCCATTCTCTACAAATTGTCTCTTTATAGTAGTCAGATTGCTCCGTTAGTGTAGATTTTATAAGCAAAAAATGCGGTTTTTTGCATAAAAATGGTAAAAAAAATTAATTAATGGTAAACTCGAGTAGGAAACATATATTTACATACTGTCTTTTATATAATGGCACAGTCCATTTGCTACTACTCGTAGTATTTTTTTCACAAAATCAGTGATTTAATGCTCTATTGATGGACCTAGGCCCGGTACTTTGAGTCTCAGTTAAAGCTTGATTAACTGATCAGGCGATTAGGCTGTACATATACTGAATTATTTTATAATAGTATATTCACAGTCTAATCGCCTGATTAGTTAATCAAGGCTTAACCAAAACTCAAAGTACCGGGCCCTAATATAATATGAAACACATCAAAAAGGAAATCTGTAAAGTGTTTACAGTGGTGGTCATGGTTACCGTCACACAGTGAGTCTGGGCTCTGTTTAGTCCACTCGCGACCAAATAATAGCTATTCACCACTTTCTTTGCTTTCTTTTCTTATTAAACGTAATTTGCTTACAAGTGGTATAAAATTTTGTTGCTTACGTACGTGTTTTTTTTAAAATTGTAAAAGTTTAAATTAGATTGTAAAGATAGACTAACAGCACTTGCAATGAAATCTATTGAAAAATCCCAAATTTTAATGAATAAGTAATTGTAAAGCTTATTTCGGACAAAAGCAGAAGAATGGACTTTCACTATAAAAAAATAATGTTTTCAATTTTACGTAATACTACCCAATTATAACGAGCGTTCAAATAAAAACGTGGTCAAGTTGGTTCTGAAAATTTGGACGTAGGGCGTAGCGTATAGCAAATGAACTTAAACGTCATCTGGCAAAGCGCTATATTGCCGCTATCAATTTGAATATTTTCGTTTTAAAAAGCGTTTAAAATGGTGTTTTCTCAAGAACAAAAAGTGTTTATCATAGAGTCCTACTTTAGAAATGGACGCAAGATTGATGGAATATGGAAGTATTCTATTGAGGAATGTTTCATAAAATTTCAAAATCAATTTCCCGGCGTTGTTGAGTACAAAATTTTTCAAAGTGCAATTCAGCGTTGTGTTAATGTTTTTCGTGAAACGGGCAGTGTAACAAGAAAAGAAGGAAGCGGCTGACCTACAAAGCGGACTGAAGAATTAAAAGAAAATGTCCAACAAATAATGGAAAATGCGCCAAGAACTTCTGTACGTGTTTTATCACAAATGGTGGGAGTATCAGTCGGTACCTGCCACACAGTGTTAAAAAAAGATTTGCGTTTGTTCTCTTTTAATTGTTTGTTATTGTTATCACGATTATTCTTAGAATAAAGTTATATAGTCATTAACGTTATTGAAACTGACAGCTGCTATACAGCTCGTTGAGAAATGAGGTTAAGTTGGTCGCTATAAGCTACTCCCTACGTCCAATGTGTCAGAGCCAACTTCGACCACGTTTTTATTTGAACGCTCGTTATTTGATTTTTTTTCAAACTTTGTACTTAAATTTTTCCGCCCTCCTTGATATGGAAGTTAAAAGCCGCCACTGCTATACTAAAACCGCTGTATCTTTTCCATTGCGTTACAAGCAATATTCGTATGAACTAAGACGAAAAACCCTAGTCAAATTATTCACTGTTTTCATATAATTGAATAGGGGAGGAAAGATTTGATAAATGTTCTGTCTTTGAAAGCAAAGGTCAGTCGTCAGTTAAATTATGGTATTTACGAGTCAGAGATGAGAAATATTCTGAATGAATTTGAAAGACGTTTTTCCCATTTTAACAAATTGACGAATATTATAAATTTCATGAGCATATCCGTTTTCTTGTGAAGATGTTGAAAAATGTGCTACTGAAATATCAAACATCTTCAAGCAAGACTTGTCTTTTGTGGAAAATGAGGTATTGCAGATGATTTCAGATATACTGGGTGGCTCAGTTTAATCGACGCACCCGAGTATCTGTTGCTAAGCCGAATAAAAAAAATCATCTTACTGGAGCCACATTCTTCCAATTTTCAATATTTGACCTTGATTTGACCTTTTCAAGGTCACTCTAAAAATTGTTAAACTACCTTACTGGACGTAAAATTTCCCGCTCTTTCCGAATCCGGCATCAAAAATAGGGTTTCCCATTTAAAAAATACCTTTGACCTTCAAATGACCTTGAAAATTGACACCAAGGTCAAAGTTATTATTGCAGTTAGATGACCCCCTTTGTCCTGAATAACTTTTGTCTGAACATTTTTTTTTATTCGGCTTAGCAACAGAGATATTCGGGTGCGTCGATTAAAATGAGTCATTCGGTATATCTCAAAGCAAGAGCAAGTGATCCGAAATTTTGGTTTTTTATATTAATTAATATTGTAATAGTGACCAAAATGTTAAAATTGATCAATGTTTGTCCTAACTTCATGTCATTAATAATTAAGGATTGATTAAACTTCTGGGGCGACGTCACTAAACAGTGACGCTAAGATGTGAGACTTTATATTACAGGTGGTAATGATTAAGCACAATTTTTCTAAATCACTATTAATAACAAAACATGATCATTAACATAAAAAAAAAAAATCAGAATTATTACCAAATTTACAATCCTTATTGGTAGGGGGGGGGGGGGATAGATGTAGCACTATATTTAGTCTACTGTGGTTCTTTCTTGATCTTCCTTTACGGCTTGTAGGCTCCCGTTGATAGAAATTTTTTGTTTTCCAGTCCGTTGCGCCGCATGGTTCATATGTTACTGTTGCGCCCTCAGCCCACAGAGTGGCTGAATCAGTTTTGCAGGTTGCTATCACTTTTAGACTTCTAAGAATGTTATCTAATACACATTTTGAACAGTTTCACCAAAAATCTAATCCAACATTGTATTCGAAGTAAAATAGTTGCGTTTCTCGTTGTTACTAACGCTTTTTATTTTCCTTTATGGGTTTTGAAGAATGCAAAACTCATATTCTGTTATAAAAATTGTTCGCATATGGGGTGTTTTGAAGAAGATTTTGAAATTTAGGGGCAGGTAGAACGTCAAAAAATAAAACGAGCTTTTTCTAAGGGTCATGTTCAAATTCAGCAAAATTAATGGAAACCACTTTTTCCATAGTCGTGTTGTAGGGTCTTTCTGTTAAAATGAAATATATATAAAAAAATATCTAAAAATGTTTGGTTTCTATTCATCTCAGTTTTTTTTTGGCCAATTTGAAGAAAGCTGGTTTAAAATACATCATTGTCAGTTAAACCAAAAGTCTTTTTGTATGTCTAGATTAGCCTTATTTGCAAAAATTATTAGAAGAAAAAAGTTTTCTAAAATCGTAAAGATGTTTCCTATTTGGAACAAATTTTATGGCGGCCACTGTATAATTTTCCAAATAGTTATGCTTTGTTAAATATTTATTTGAAGATATCAACAAAAAATTTGGGAAACGGAAAAATCTTTTAAATGTATCTACCTGGAAAACCTGGAATTTTTAGGGAAATTTTGACCAGTTTATACACTTTGCCTAATATTAACAACAAAACGGGATGGTCCTAAAGCCCATAGAAAAAGTCATCTTATTTTTTTATGTTCTACCTGCTTTTCGATTTGTCGCACCTGTTTTCAAAATGCCCTGTATAATTTATCTGTTTGTTTTAACGCTCAACGCTTTATGTTTTGTGTGTAACGCTCAGATGTTTCAAAATGCATTGAAAATCGGTTATTTGTTCTAGAATCAAATAAAAGTGTTGTAGTTATAAAATTTTTAAAAAAATTGTGTACCGTCAATGCATTTTGAACTTTCAGCATGCGCTTTTGAATGTCGCATGTCGATTGAAGTTTACAGAATTGAATCTAACGACTTTCGTATCTTCGCAGGAACTTCAGGGAGTTCGGCGTCACGACCGACTCGACAGTCTGGTGGAAGGCGGGTCTAAGTTTGGCGGCCGTTACGGCTTTGGGACTGTTAGTTGCGAGGGTGCTGAACACGTCGGATAAAACGAGATAGATTTATGGAAACGGTGAATGTCTTGAGTTTAGTTTGTAATTATTGTTTATGTATAATCATTGAGTTGTACTTCCAAATTATATTTTTACATCCCTGGATATGGAACGGTTATTTTTTCACATGGGAGTTGTGTAAAAAACATGATGCTTGATTGGACAGTGTGGTAAGTACATCGAAAAATGCTTTAGAGTTGAATGACCTTTGATTATGATGGATCCCCCTTGGCCAGAGGCGTGCGTTTTGTTTTTTTGGGAAAGGTTACAATTAATCGGTATGTGATAAATATATGGATGGAAACTTTTTGTTATAACGAAATTCCAATAGCATTAATTTAACAGGCACAGAAACGCATATACATTAATAAGTTATGTATAAAACAATCAAAACATAAAAGGAAAAATAGATAAAAGGAAAAGTTTATATACCGGTTGACCACGAGATTACTACCCAGGCTCTAGATTAGGCACGAAAAAATATATTGATTTCAATTTTTGGGCATGTGTATCATTGAATTTGATGCAAAATTTAATCATAAAAACAACTGAGGGTCACTTCCTATTTGACTGGAAATGTCCTAAACTTTGTTATTTCATATGGAACACCCCATATATTATTTTTGTTTTACTAAAATATTACACTAAAATATATATATTATGTCCTATACCTATCGTTTACAGTTTCCGAGAAAATTGCGCTTTAAAATGTCGAATGTGTCATTTATAAAATCCTTTTGAAAGAAAACAAACGAAGAAAGGGACAAAGTCATACGATAACTTTAACTTATTTTAGAAGTACTAAAGTCTGATATAAAAATGTCGCACTTCTGGCACATCCGGAAAATACCGGAAGTTATCTTTAATAGCAAGTAACTGCAATAATTTTAATTGAATGCCCTACAACAAATTGAGAATTCGTATTCTACAAACAATTTCGAATCATTTTTATGTACAGTTCCCTATACCCAAAGTTCAGAGTTTTTGAGATTAAATGTTTAATGTAAAATTGTCATCTGAACAATGCATAAATGGAAAACGATACAATCAGTCAGATCAGAGGTGCCTAGGAATGTTAATTTTAATATGGTTGCTATGACAGGCTTTTGTTTTTAGGCGCCATATTTGCAAAGAAAAACCTGTCACAGCAACCATATTAGAATTAAGATTCCTAGGCACCTCTGATCTATGCATTGACTGATTATGTCGTTTTCCATTTATGCATCGTTCAGATGACATTTTTACATTAGACATATAATAATTCATTAACTCCGAACTTTAGGTATAGGGAAGTGTACATAAAAATGATTTGAAATTGTTTGTAGAATACGAATTCTCAATTAGTTGAAGGGTATTCCATTAAAATTATTGCAGTTAGATACTTGCTATTAAAGATGACTTCCGGTATTTTCCGGATGTGCTGGAAGTGTGACATTTTTATGATCTCAGACTTTAGTACTTTTAAAATAAGTTAAAGGTGTCATATGACTTTGTCCCTTTCTTCGTTTGCTTTCTTTCAAAAGGATTTTATAAATGACACATTTGACATTTTAAAGCGCGATTTTCTCGGAAACTGTCAAAGATAGGTATAGGACATAATACATATTTTAGTGTTAGTTTCTTCAGCAGAATTTAAAACAAAAATAATATACAGGGTGTTCCATATGAAATAACAAACTTTAGGGCATTTCCGGTCAAACAGGAAGTGACGGTCAGTTGTTTTTATGAAATTTGCATCAAATTCAATGATACGTATGCCCAAAATTTGAAATCGATATCTTTTTTCGTGCCTAAGCTAGAGCCTGGGTAGTAATTTCGTGGTCACCCGGTATACAGGGTATAGCTAAAATTTTAATTAAAACTTGAAACTTTTTTTTAGTTAAATCATTTTATTGAATTTCATATGTAAAACATGAGATAAATGATGAGATTAATACACTGAATATAAAGTTTCGGAACTAGATATGACAACATTGTCCTGCTCACTTATTTTTCCTTTAGTCGTTCAACTCTCGGGGATTTTTAGATGGACAAGATATGTTTTTACAAATGAATTCTGAAATATTGAATAGGCAATCAATAGTCATCTTCGGTTTTGTGTTGGTTGCCTCAAGTTTATTTAAAAACTGTGAGAAAAGCAGGTATCACATCAACTTTTGGTATTTTAAGGGGTTATATCACTTTGGAGCCGAAAAAAAAGGATTTTTTCAAGAATTTTTTTTGAGTACTTTTTTGTGGTAATCATGAACTACCAATACACCAATCTATTAAGCAACTCTTTAGGAGTAAGAAATTGAAAATTTCTTGCAGAATGGCGGCTATAGAAGCGCATGAACAAAATTAAATTTTTCAAAGGTCCATCGCTGGATCTGGAAGCATAAAAATTTTTTTTCATAAACTGCATGAGTTTAGCTAGCGAAGTACACACGATCATAATTTTAGGAATTTTTTTCCCAAACTGAAGTTACAGTTCAATTTTCAAATCGATCGGATGAAAACTCTTGAGTTCTGCTACTCGCCAATTTCAAAAACATAGTTTCGGGAGAAACGTATTTGAAGTTTGAGAATGATGTAACTATTCAAGCACCATATAATTGCCCTTCCAAGGCCGTATCTTGCTCTTCCTGCTCTTTTCATGGTCATGAAGTCAATGAAACGATACCCAAAAGACTCATTCACTTCTCTTTCACACATCATCATCAAGTTTTGAGTTTCTTCGGCGACACGCTCACGAACTCCAGACCGCACTCGAATGAATGACAGTTAGGCGGATGCCTATTTCCAATTTTACTTCGCGTACGGGCTGTACTTCGATTTTTACTACCTTTACGGCCTGCATACAACTTATCACTCATATTTCATCACTGCACACAAATCAACAAAGTCAAATAATACCACAAACACAATAATAGCACAAGTCGAACTACAGTGTACAGGTGATTGATGACGCATGTGCTCAAACCATCGTAAAAATCTTATATTCAGTATACCCGGCTGGAAAATCCACATGGTCCATATGAGAGCGACAAAGTAAAGTAAAGAAATTGGTGTGATAAACAAGAATGGCTATAGTGAAGACATTTCATAATCTGAAGTTACCTCCCGTTTCTATTCAGATTATAAAACGTCTTCAATATAACCATCCTTGTCTATCGCACGGTTTTCTTTATTTTGTCACTCTCATGTAAAGGCAGATGGACCATGTGGATTTTCCAACCGTGTATAATAACGTTTTTTTTTGCTTGTGATGACATCTATGGTTCACTTTTGAAGTATTTTCTCGATGATCGGTATGTTATAGCACGAAATTCAAAAATGCTGTATCGACAATAAAAGCGAAATCTGCTATTTTTACGCTTCGGAATTGCTTCGGAAAAATTAATTTTACGGATATTTGTGAGTTTTTTCATGCAAAAAAGTTTTTTATTATGAATCTTGGAATGTTTTAGTGTACTTTAAGGCAACAAAAAAAATTTTTCAAAGTGATATAACCCCTTAATACGTTTTTCAGTGTAAAAGTGTACCGGATAAGGGAAGACTAATTTTAAACAATCAGGAACTTTCAATATGCGTACAATTCAGTATTTAAACAGATTAATAATATTTTTAATTACAGTAAACTATACGATGTTATTGCATTTTTGTGTATTACCACAGGTTTTCTTAATTGGACAATGACAATATTTCATCATGTACCATGTACAGAGTCATCATGCGAAAATCTTATGTTCGACTAATTTTATTATTTTTGAAGATATCGGAAAATGAAAGTATGATTTTTTGTTAATTTTTCATTAATCTTTTATAAAAATACAAAATTATCTTTTTTATATATAAAAAAAAACAATTGAGCATCACATTCACACCCTGGTAGCTCTTATGTTTTCAAACGAACTTTTTTTTTCCTCACAAAAATTTGGGAAATAATATAAGCGATTGTTTTTAGAGCAAAAGTTGTAGATTTTTATTCAGGGTGATTTGAAACATAAATATACTAATTTTTGTAGTACCGATATTCACATTATGTACAGGGTGATAGATACATCTTGGTAAGTGCAATTTTCTTTGTAAAACGGCTCAGGTTAATTAAATTCTAAAATCGTGTTATAACTTAATAGTGTCCGACCGAAATTAGTTTTTATGACCGAAACCAAATTTCGGTTTCTGTATCAGTTTCGGCCAAAACCAAAACCGAAACTTCCTTTTAAGGTAATTCTTTTGTATAAGTTGTAAGTTTCTATTCACTTTAGCTAGATGCAAATTTGTGTTTGTTTTCTCTAAAAAAACTATCTATTTAATATGGGATGAGGTTCGGGAGGTATGTATTTCACTCAGAGAAATAAATATAGATATCAGTCTTTATTATTATGTAAGTATATCATTTAACCAGTCTCTCTGACATTCAAAGTATGAACATTCAAGTTTGTAGCAACAATCAACTTATCAACCCATCATTTTAAAAGGCACATAAATAATTATAATACAAATGAAGTACCCGTGTACTTAAAAAATATACTTTGTACTTAACAATGTAAAGTAGACAAAAATAGACTCTTCCATCTAAAAAATGAAATAAATAAATAAGAGGGGGAAGCGTATGAGCGTAATCTAGTCGACTCAACACTCTCCACTATACCGATCGCTCCCGAAGGCCGCATCAAAGGTCATGAACGTAGTTTTGGTTTCGGTCGTAGTTTCGGCAGCATCAAGACTAAACTGAAACCCCAATTTAGCGCCAAAATTTACCGACACCGAAAGTTCGGACAGTATACCTTAACATAACAAATATACAAATTTTTGTAACATATAGTTCATGATGATTGATTCGATATGTATCTTGGACACGTTTTCCTTGAAAACAAATTCACATAATTAAATTCTGGAAACAGTGTTATATTTTCAGTCGCTGTCACTCATGACACAGAAATTTTAGTTATACTGCCTTTCTTGGATAGGTGAAATGGAGAAAAAATATGTTGACCTAGAAAATGACCTTCTGAAATTTAACCCAGCTTGTTTGTGAAACACAATCTGTCGTGATTTCAAATCCATAAAATCCAGTAAACCCTAGAAATTTAAAAAAATTTGATTTTTATTTTTCACCAATAAAGTACGACATACCATGAAATGTTATGAAGAAGTGTTTTTCGGAGTAAAAAGTTGAATAAGGGGACAAAATTTTAATGTTTTTTGGCCTTTTTTTGATGTTATGCTCAATTTCAGCTTTTTTCACTGGTAGAATGTATGAGATATTATAAAATGTTATTAAGAAGGGTTTCTCAGAATGTGGAACTAAATATTAGTGCTAAGTTTTAAATGCCATGACTTTTTGCCTTATATTTTTCTCAAATTAAAAATTTTCGTTTTTCATATCTCATACTTTACTACGTAAATATTCTGTTTTTTATTTTTCCTATTCAGTTTTTCGTTCTAACCAAATTTTCTTAATATTTTTTGGTATCTCATACAGGAATAGTACTTTACAGGTGCATAAAATCATATATATTTTTTTTGTGTTTCCTATCTTTGGGACAGTTTGGTAATTTCTATCTTACAAACAAACAGCGGCGGCTCGTGACATTGAGAATAGGTGAGCATATTCATTGATTGACTAAAAAGAAAAAAAAAGCACTGCTGGCAAAAATGTTCAAATTTTCAAGGTCAAACGACTTTAAATGAATCTGGAAATTTTTAGTTGCATTTGCAATATTACTGAAAAACTGACGTTCGTGAGAAGGATTTTCATTTAGATTTCATAAAAAATAGAAATACAGTATAACTCGGTTATAGCGAACATTCACAGGAACGCAAAATTTGCTTGTTATACGCGAGTGCTCCTTATAGACATCGCCGTCGCCAACTATGCTGAAAATTATTGGACACATAATTATAGCTGCATTGCACTTGTATTTTTATTTTCAAACATATAATATTATTTATCTACATAACATAGATACGTATAACTGTAGGTAAGTTACATTACATAGCATTTATTATTAATGAAAAAATTCTGTAATATTTTTCTGCAACACTCTTTTGCTTAATATCTCCTGACTGATATTTCTTTGCAACCGATCAGCGGCATTTAAGAACTGCTCGTTTTCCGGATATTTGAATTTGACGTATGATACTATGGTTTTTAACGCAGAGATGGCTTAATGTGTCGAAGGAACTGTAACCTCATCGCTTCCCGTCTCTTCTTCATCACTTTCTTCATCTATTGATGGGTTAATTGCTAATTGTGTGATTTGAATTTCATTTGGGAATTCAGCCACTTCGAGATTTTCGTCTACCATGTCGTACTGAACTAAGTCAAAGACGTCAAAATCGGATATGTTGTTATTTCTACTAGTCATAACAAGTTTTTGCGTTCATTTGATGTATGTGTGTAAAAACTGGTTCCACGATAACTCGTTATAGTCAAGCTCACTGTTTATGATAACTCGTTGTAGCCGAGATCACTGTTGCGCGGGACCAAAATCAAAGCTCGTAATAGCCAAGCCCTCGTTATATAGGAGTTCGTTATAGCCGAACAAAAATACACTTTACATAGGGAATTCGGAAGGGACATTTCAATTTGCTCGTAATAACCAAGTGCTCGTTATATCCCCTGCTCGTTATAAGCGAGTTCAACTGTATTAGTTTGGCTTGTGGACTTCTGCGAACATTAACGCACATCGTACATGTACGTTCCAAAGAAGCTTTGTGGTTACGACAATCTTGCGTGACATTCCCAAAATTGTTAAATCTTACTTATACTCCGAATACCATTCATTCCGAAACTTTCGAACGTACACGTCATTTGACTTCCCTTTTTCCCATATCGAGAGAATAAAGCACGTCTCACAATTTAAAAAATCCTTTTTGTCCTCAATTTTCAATCTGGAAAATGGCATTTCCAATAAAATACATACTGGATCATACTTACATAGGAAACATTTCTACAATTATTATACAAAACAAATATTAACAAAGAGCCGTTATAATTGTGCACTGGGCGACGAATATCGTATAAACATAAACTGTTAAAGGCAGGCGATGGGCGATGCTGCTTCAATTTCTGAGTCACTCGTTCCCCGACGCCGTAGTTTAATCATGTATTGGCCACCTCGTTGCCATACAGTAAACAATGCTACGAAGAGAAGCAGAATATAGACTGATTTCAATCTGCGTCACTTGCGTGTACTTCACGTTGTATGATTCGAGGTTGATGTTCACGCTCAAGAAGGCAATGTTTTTTTAGAAGGCATTCACCGCGCAACTATTCTGTTTATTTCTGCGTATTAAACAAACAAACGCAATACACTTTCAGTATAGAATTATACCTAAATTATAAAATTTATATAAAATTAAAAATAATTTTAAATTGGACAACCAAACGGAAATTTTAGGTCACCTGACGAGCCACTGCGAAACCCGTGTTTTATGCTGCTAGAAAAAATGTTGTAAAACTTTTCTGTTTAATGTTTTTTTATTGATTTCAATCACTTGTTAAGATATTTGCAGTTGAAAATCCTTTTGGTGAAATTGTTGGCTTTTATTTATGAAAAGCTAGAATGAAGTTAGAGAAATGTTTATTTGAACTTTTTATGGAGTAGCTAATATTTCAGTGTAGACTAACCTTGTTTATGACACATCCTGTGTATTTTTGCTTAGTTTGTAAGAAAGTCTTACACTTACGTTCTTTCGACCATATCCAATTATTCTAACAGAATATGTAAAAATATACAGAGTGTTACATAAAAAAAAACAGTCTTGGTATCTGTACCTCTGATATGCCACTTAATTTTTTTTTTGTGATAAAAGACATCCTTGTGGAAAATTAGTCGCTGATTCAAATTTTATTTTTCCCATACCTTCAGAAACAAGAAGTTTCATCGGATGTACTTTTTCACGTGATCACCCTGTACCATTGTTCCTAAGGAATAATGTTATTCAGAAATGAAATGTAGTAAGATTGTGAGTGGGTAATATACATATAAGTACTCAACAGGGTGCCATGTTCATTTTAAAATGATTTTAAAGGTGCAATTTCTTAAAAACGGTGCTTGTAATAACCTGTTTCATTTTTTCCAGTTATAATTCAAATATCATGTATATAATATTTTATTACAAACCGCTTTAATTAATTTAAATTTAATTGTTAATTGTATTTCTAAATTAACGCTTTAGCTATAAAAAGTATTGGCGAATGTGGCAACTAAAACTGTATAAATTTCAACATTAGTCAAAAGACTGTATATAGATAGTATAGGTATATAGAGGTTTAGGTTTATAATAAACAAATTAATATGGGATAATATTTATACAATATTTTATAGTAACTGTAGACATTGTTCTAATCTAGTCCTTTGTAGTATTCAGATCAGGATATAACTTTATAAACTGCCAAAATTAAACTTTTCTATAGGAAGTCGGTTCTGTTTTAATAATTTTTTTGTAATGTAACCATTGAAATATTTAAAGTACTTAATTAATCTTTTTTTTACAGTGCAATAGTTAATCCAAATTTATTAAAATAGTTGTGACCATGCTTTTTGTAATAATTTTTCTCCAGAGGTATCCTCTTATTAATAATTAAAAAATTATACATGCATCTATACATTGTATTATTTTTTTTAATAAATAAAAAGTTTGAATATTAATCTCTTTTTTTTTCTTATATTTAATTGTGTAAAAGACGTCTTTCTGGATACAAAATTGAAACGTTGCAGAAGGGTAACAGTATAATATAAATCAGGAAGGACGTGGCACAATTGTTGCTGCTAACAATTTTTTTGCATACATTCAATCTACTTTAGAACATGGCGGTTTTTACATCTCATAAACTATTTTTTCTATTTGTGAATTTGATATTAATATATTTAATTACTGCTACATGATCTGTTTCAGCAAGTCGTTTACAATTTTATTTGAAACAAAGTAGTCTATGTCCATTTTGCATGAAAAGCAGTAGGTATTTTCCATAAAAAATTAAAAATTTAACTGCACTATTAGTTCCACAAAACTGCTAGAAATTACTCTTTCAAAATTGTCGACTCATTCAATGTCACAATTCTTTACGCCTTCTAAAACTATTTTTTTTTAAGTAGTAAAGTACTGACTTGTGTTATACAGTGGAAAGATTACACGTAAAATGAAGAGTAAACCGCTTTAACTAAATTTGGGAACGTACTTAACGATAGTGTTAAGTTTTGGATCGTGGTAGAACATACGTCTCGGTCGGTAAAACAGAAAATGAACTCCTTTTCTCGGTGTTTTGCGGACGTGAATGGTTCCCTAATAAACACAAAATAAATCCCAGGTAATTGAAGGAAATAATGACCATCCGCTTTTGAAATTAAGTGCATATTATTTATCTGTGTTTGTGCTTTACATTATCGTGAATATTCGTTCTCTATCTTAGATAGATAGTCTCAGAAAACCTACTCAAAAAACTAGTGGTGGGTTTCAGAGTTGCCACTGAAAAAACATAAAATATTGTTATTGTTTAATATTTTATTGGTTTAATTTTATACATTTAAATAAATAACTTCCAAGTGAGTTGATTTTAGTAATGTGCTGCTAAAACTTTTATTTATTTATTAGCAAAATTTTCGTAACCTCAATTTCTGACCAATAATATGTTTCATCTATTTGGTTAATAAATTAGGAGTTCTGAAATTTTGTTACACACTATAGATATTTTGATAAATAATATACACATTTTCTAAGTTTTCTGGACAAGCCTTCTCTATATTAAACCAATTTTTCTTGTTTTTAGCCATGGTGCGTATGAATGTATTAAGTGACGCCCTTAAATCCATAAACAATGCTGAAAAGCGTGGCAAGAGGCAGGTACTCATCCGCCCGTGCTCCAAAGTTATAGTTAAGTTTTTAACAGTAATGATGAAACATGGATATATCGGCGAATTTGAAATTGTGGACGACCACAGAAGTGGGAAGATCGTGGTAAACTTGACAGGACGTTTAAATAAATGCGGTGTGATTTCACCTAGGTTTGACGTACCAATCACACATATTGAAAAATGGACAAATAACCTTTTACCTTCACGTCAGTTTGGGTAAGTAGCGTTAAGTTAAATTTGGGTATTTTATGTCATATTTTGCAATTGGATTTGTTGCACATTTCGGTTTGTTAGAAAACTAAAATGGCAGTTGTAATAGTCGGTGAAATTATTTTTTTTTAATTTTAAGTGACTAATTTCTACTGCAAAGGACATTCTTTTACACATTTTGTGAATTGTTGCTTTTCTTTGTTCAGAGTCAAATAAAGTACATAGTCTGCCAAGAAGCATCAATGTGAATAACCTGTGATATTTGAGAAGTTTCGTTTATCAATACAAAATTTCTTGATGCACGCAGGGAGAGCAAATTTGGAGACCCGTGCTGACATAGCATTAGTTGCCACTATAATAGTCTTAACTTGATTATTATCTGGCAACTAACATCTATCCTCAGCTCCGTTTCTCCAAAGACATTATTAAACTATTTATTAATATTTTTAAAACTGAAGGAATCAAGGTATAATTAACTTTTAAATATAGTTACTGTTAATATATTTACTGTTAAAGAAAATGGCAGTAATGTTGTTTTCTTTCCCCGTTATTGTAGTGATGGGAGATCTGGACTGGAAAAATCAAGTGGTTCTCGATTCTTAAAAGTTTTTGTTGGTCTCTTGAATACTTGATGAAAGTATTTGATGCTTTTAGTTCTCGCCGCGTCGACTGCACTGCAGCAACATTAAATAATTGTACACAAAAGTTTATATATAAAACGCTAAATTTACCTCCCCTCTGCTCATCGTAACATTCAACATCTAGTCTTCCGTCCGGCACTCGATTCTCGAAGAACCATTTGATTCTATAAAACTATTCGAGAACTGAGTTCTTGATTCTTAAAAATACTCGATTCTGCCCATCACTACGATATTGTTTGAAATAATGAATTTTGTATTTGTTTCTTTTTTTAGATATGTTGTACTGACTACAAGTGGGGGTATCATGGACCATGAAGAAGCTAGAAGGAAACATCTGGGAGGCAAAATCCTTGGGTTTTTCTTCTAATGTAAAGTTATTTAATAAATCTTATTAAAAAATGTGATGTTTTTTGCGTGTGTTTTAATTCGTTATTCTTCTATTTATTCTGTGATTTAAAAAAGGTAAAATTTGGAGCATATTGAAGGTAAATATAAAAATGAAAAAGGTAATACAAATTATTTAAGAAAAACTTAATAAAAGAGTGCGAAATTGTGATAAAAAACAAATATGGATAATTTTAAACTTGTATCTCTTTCAAATCCATTTTAATTTACATACTTTTTAGTTTTGCAGTAATCAAGACATTTCAAAAGTTACAAAATAAAATTATGAGATTAAATTTTGTAAATGTTATTTTTAGTAACTGTTGAATACAATTTCAAACTATACAAAATATTGAATTTTTATGCAAATAAAAGCCTAAGGCAGCCATGGGCGTAGCTGGAGGAAGCAGGGGTATGCACGGCCCACCCCAGTGAAAAAAGATCCAGTAATATCATTCTCATATTTGGTAAGTTGCTGACTGCGTGATTTTTTTTTAGAATCAAACGAAACGGTGAAGGTTTTGACATTTTACATCAAGTCACTGATTGTGTAAGCTTTTTTTTAGAGGCCTCCATAGAGTTTGCTACCCATGATGGCAGCTGTTGAATATAAAGTGTGCCCATCTCATTCTTTAGATAATTATTTCTGGGTCAACATGAAAAATTTTCTAATAAATGTTGCGAAATAGAAAATTAAAATAGAGGAATAATTTTTTTTCATAAATACTATAAGCAGATTTTTTTTCTTATTTTGCTTACAATTTTAATATTTCTTAAAGTACGGCATTACGAAATTTGAGAAGTGGAATGTTAGCGTCAAATTAAAATTTGAATAGGTAGCTACAAAAAAACAATTTCGTGGAAAATAAAAAAATGGTTATGGGAAATGTTTTGCAAATATGTACAGAAATATCTGGCGCCGATATTCGCGCATGCGAATGCGAATACTATTCAGTTTTATTACCTAATATTAAAGTAGACTAATAAAAAAATATAATTGCAAGGTTACCTACTGCTTAGTGAAAAAAACTTGTTATTTTTTAAAAAAGGAGTAAGAAGCTAAGAAGACTTTTCTAATACGCATACAAATGCTAAGAAATTAGGTAATATTTTGTTTGTCTTATTTTCACATTTCAGCCAAAAAATATGATTATTTTCTGATTCGTAAAATATTCGTAATTTTGCAAACACGAATGTAAAAAAATATGCCAGTATTCGTTACATCACTTATATGACCTTTAAAATCCCCTCAAAAATTGTATGGATCCCAGTCTTAATTTTCAAAATATGCATGACCATTTTAGTTTTCTCCAGCCGACACTAATAGAAACCCACCTCATGTAACATTTTTTTAAAATGTTACAAGTAGGTATAGAGCTTCCGAAATCAGTTGAATATGCAAAAAAACGTCTGGTAATAAAATTTAATGAGTTTCAGAGGCGTCCCTAAAAAAATTTTCTGCTAAAGGTAAAAAGTTATAATAATTTGTATATGTGTAGAAAATTTCTATTATATGTTCATTTGGCCAACAACATATTTTAATTATATATGTTATTTTAAATTTCGTTTTGTTCCGTTTCAAAAGGTCTCCAAAATGCCATGCTGTGATAATATTAGTAAACAAAATATCCATCTTATTTCTCCCTTACGCAATTGTAATACCTATGAATGATTCATAGAAGCAGGTGCCTATAATAAATTAAAATTGCCTGATTCACACCAAATTCCGCACTGCTGCACTGCACTGCTTGGCAATTTATGAACCGCTTGTGACCTGCTGTGATTTGTTGCCCAGAAGCCCAATACAACTGTGCTCGTTTTCCTTTGGCCGAGCTCGCATTCTTCAACTGAGTGTATACATTTCTATCATCTCCACGTTTAGTTCGACCAGACCTGTTTATGCATGGCTAATTAAATATGGGAACAAGTTTTTCAAATATTTCAAATGCCGAGTTGCCGCTTATAGCGACCGAGCATGGTACCTTGAAATTATTGGTTCTTCAATTGACTTCGGAAAAACTATACATAATATACCTATCTAGAACTGCAAAAAACCACACTGTCTGATCCTCATGGAATCTCAAAATAAGAAAAGAAGTTTCCATGGGCAAGGATTGGCAAATGGTAAGTTTCTGAGATACAGGGCGTTTAAAATTAACATCTAAAGATAAACACGTAAAAATTTAAACTGGTATTTTACATTTTATATATACTTAAGAGATATAAAATGACTGGAATGCAAGATATTGCTCCTTGCATGGGTTAACAGTGTACTTTTTCTCTTATTAAGAATTTAAAACTTAAATCTATGCAGAATACTTCTAATCTTATACATACAGATCAGAGACAATATTTCTAATTATTGATATTGCAGAAAACACCTACTTTATGTGCTACATACTCTAACTAGCGTTGAATTACACCATCAATATCATGTAATAGCAAGTAATTAATAATTATCCAAAATAAAAAATTAATAATTACTGGATATTTACTAGATATTGCCTGTGTAATTATATGCTAGTTAGGGCAGACAGCATATAGCCTATAGAGTACCTAGTTATTGTTTACTGCAACAGGTATATACATTTATTTATGAATTAGTTCACGAATTTCTTTTTTTGTGTGAAATCGCTAAAACGTTTTATTTTTAGATTACATACAAACATTGTTATATATTTATAGCCTTCGAATACGAATGCGTAATTGGAGATAATGGCACCACGACAATTGGTTAACTATTCCAGATGAAAAAACTTTTTTATTTGGAAAACAACAGGTCATGAGACCAATGACGCTTCATTTAAACCAAGAGCCATAATAATTGTCAATTAATTTTATTGGTTGACTGAAACATATTTTCCATTTGAAATAACATCTGAGCGTTGTTAGAAAATTTCAGGTCTATAGGAGTTAATAAAAATATATTTTACTAAACATTAATAAATTTAAATAACAAAATAAATCGATTATAAATTATGAAAAAAATAAATAAATAATATAATACTTACCTATATATATTATAAATATGGAAATAAAGATTCTTTTTAAATATACATTTTTAATATTAGCTCGGTATAAGAGAGCATACAGGTATACTAACGACTTGATTTGAATTTGCTTAATACCTTTTAAAGTAAAACAAAAGAAGATATATATTTTGATGGATGTAAGGCAATTTTTAATTACGAGACTTTTCTCCCAACGAAATTGAATACCTATAAGCATTTGTGTAAATAAAAAACAGTTCGATTATAATTAATAAATTGGCAACACTCAGTAAAATATAATCTATTAATTATAAATGTTTTATCCCTAAGCGTCTGGAAATACGGGACGCCCACGGCACTGGAGTGAGCCGCAAAAAATTGAACTGTTTATTTACTCACGTGCGCACCACGCTGTTTCCAACACAGTTCCTCACCTGCCCGCTAGATGTCCCGCCGCCGATAAATATTTCATTGGGCATTCGCCTTTCTTACCTGTGCCGCGGCGCATGCGTCAAAACTTTCAACAGAAAACATGCACTTCACAAACTTGCATTTACGACGTGTGCGACTGTGTTCGGTGCGTCTCCTGTAACGTCCCGCGAATATGTTGTGGCATTTCATACGGTCAAACACCCAATAAAACTCGACAAAGTAAGATAAAAGTGTCATGAAGTGCTAGTGCTCGCCTAACGATGTGACGAACCGAGTAACCGGCCAGGTAAAAAGTTAACGGTGTGTTCGTTGGGCAGCATCCACAGGTGTCTTCGAAACTTTTCGCATCTTGTTACGGTGTGTGATTTAAAAATGGAGTTGGTGCAGAAAGTGAATTGCGGCGTAAACATAAGTGAAATGTTTCCCCTCGAGAAGCTGTGAGTTCTTAGATAGTCTCGTTCAAGTTTTAAAACTTCTGCCATGGTTGTGTGTAAACAAAGAACACCTTTAAACATGGAACAAGAGGAGCGGAACTTCCAACGAAACTTTTTGGGATTCAAACATGGATTAATCGTTTTTTGTTTGCTGTGTTTTTTGCCTTCTTCGATAGCAGGTTAGTGGCTTCTTATTTTTTAGCGGGATATGCTACTGTTCCTGTTATCCTTGGGATAACATGGAATGGAATTGCATAATATGCAGTTTACACCTCAGGAGATTAGAATGCAGTCTTTCTACCATTAATAAATCATTCTTTGCAATGTTGGACGTAATCTAACTGAATTGGTAGAAAATCTAAACCGGTTCTGTTCGTGGTTGTGTTCGAAGCAATTGCGATAAAATTGTTTGTATTATAAATATCGAAAAATGTATTTTATTCCCTAGTTTTAGGTAACGGTCATATTTAAATTATTTCTTTTTAATTCGCCTTTCAAAAACAAATGAACATTTATAATACGAAACAATGCAATTCAAATAATAGCCAATATAATTTGACACTGTTTGAAATTTCTGCAGGTAAAATATTTATGTGTTTAGTCATTTCAGACCTCGAAATATTGAAGAAAACTGATATCCTACAGGAAAGATATTAAGTTAAGTAAAAAAATGCGGCTTCCCATAAAATTTTATAGTCTTTCGCTTTATTATTCAGATTTAAAAAATGGTTGTATTTCTCTGGAGCTTTTATAAGTTCGTTGGCCTTTTTTTCGTAGATAATAGTTGAAAAATGACTCATTTACATGTCTCCCAGATAATTTTAATGAAATGTAAACAAACTGGAGACTATTTTCATAATTTAATTATGTACTTTTTTATGTCCGTCTACGATCTTAAGTTCAAAAGTCCTACAAGTTATCTAGAGCTTTCCATAATTTATTAGTGATTGATCACCATGTTTTTGTATCATTAGTGCAATATTGGAATTGTATTTAAATTAATGGGAGTTTTATCATATTTTATATGCCTATAAATTTGTATTTACGTAACCTAGATTTTTTGAAAAATTTGTTATGAAGGAATTACCTCGGGAATTACCTAATTTAGTTTTGAGATGTTTTACTCAAATGCTGCTTTTGTTGCAGTATTTAATTGATATTATTTAAGTAT